TCATACCCTCTTTCATATCGCTGTGATTTACAACCTTCTTCGACGAGGGGGTCTATCGATTGGTTGAAGTCGTGAAGAAAATTTTCGTCAGATTCATCTTATTGTAATCGAATGATTAACCTCTTTTTTTATCCCGCACAAATCTTTACCCATGAAACAACTTGTACCATACTAAACTCAAAAAACAAAAACAAAACTGGAACAAAGCATATCATAGGGGCACTTACTACACTCAAACCCACTATCGGGGTACTTACTACCTTTAAAGTGTTGGAATATTTAGAGTGTCGGAGTGGAGCGTGCTCTACTGTTTGATCGCGCTCGCGCTAGCTAGGCGCGACCCGCGATGAAATCGCGATGAGTTTCTGGAAATCTGGCAAGTCTATGGAGGAGCGCCCGCTCCTTGGCGCTCCTCCAGGTGGCGTACCCGCGCCACTATTAGGCGCGGCCCGCGCCTAAATCGCGACAAAATCGCGTCAACTTTCTGGAAAATCAGAAAGTTGGGATTCTAGAAGAGGAGCGCCCGCTCCTCCCGGTGGAGCGCCCGCGCCATCTATTTTTCGCGAATTTTTTGACGGTTAAGTCTTTATTAAAGACTTGATTTTCGGGATAGAAAACATACAGAACATTATTCTCTGATATTCTCCCTAAGAAATTCTCCATAATTTCTATCAAAAATCTTGCAAATTTTGGTGAGAAATCTTCTTGATTTTTGCCTTCTTTGTGAATTATTCATCATCAATTTGATTCTTAGTGCAAAGAACAATTGGGCTGACTTTTGTATCTCAAAGAGTATTTCCGGATCAAACCCAAGCACCATTGTGGGGGAAATTAAACTCTTTAGGAATGTATTCATACGCCTAAGTCATTGTGTCAAGGATTGAGAATCAAGTGGTCACCGGTTTTCTCATGTTCATGTTGGTTGTTAAAGCTTGGAGTAGAGGCAAGTATATTATCTTTCACAACTAGTGTTTTCATTGTATTTTCTGTAATACTTTGGCAATTTGGTGTTTGGTTGAAATACATTGGTTTGTATTTGGATTATTGTATAATTTGATTTTGATTATACAAAGTTAGGTTTTGTTCCCACAATTATTAAAGTAGTTATTGTTATTGAATTACTTGAAAACCTAACAATCTAAAGAGTTTAAACTTTTAGAAGTAATCAAGCATGTCTAGTGTGAAAGAATTGACCACAAATTTTGTCAAACTCAAGAAGTTTGACGGTGTGGAGTTTCGGAGATGGAAGAAGAAGATGTACTTTCTTCTTACATCTTTGAAAGTAGCCTATGTCATTAGTACTCCAAGGCCTAGTGAACATGAGAATGAATCCTTGGAAGATGTTCGGGAAAGGTCAAAATGGGACAACGATGACTTTATTTGTCGTGGTCATATTTTGAATGGTATGGAGGATGATCTTTTTGATGTTTATCAAAATGTGGAGTCGGCTAAGGAGCTTTGGGAGTCCTTAGAAGGCAAATATATGGCTGAAGATGCATCAAGTAAGAAATTCTTAGTTAGTAATTATCAGGAATAATACAATCTTTCAGCGGTCTTCCATGAATAAAACGACCTTTTGATTACTCTGTAATAAAACTACCTTTGACATGCATTTGTTATAAATAAGATAAAAAAAATCGGTAACCTGTTTTACAGGTTAAATCGGACACTTGTCGTGTTGTCACTGATTGATTTTTTTTTTAAAAAAAATTCTTTTATTAAAAATAATGAATTAAATTAAAAAAAAAAACGGATATTTCACCAAATGTCACTAAGCACTTTAATGATTTACCAAATGCCATCAAAGTTTTTAAAATTCACTAAATGCCTCCGAGTTTTTAAAAAATTCACCGAGTGCCATTAATAACTAACGGCTGTTAACTCCGTTAGTCATTAGGGTTTAATCATGACACATGTCATGATATGATTGGTTCAATTTAAAAAAACTCTTAAAATTCCTAACCCTAACCCATCCCCACCACCAACACTGCCGCTGCCGGCAGCCCAACCCTAGCCGCCAGTACTCCCTGCCCCACCTTCACCATCGAAACCAACCTAACCACCACCCCTAAAACCAGCGACTTAGCGTCTTTCGCTTTTTCCCCTCACGAAAAAACACCCAGCGTTTTCCGACCACCGCTCAAAACCACCTACCCCTCCTATCCACCACCCTTGAAACGACAAAATCGGCCAAAGAAATCGACCATTCTGGATTTCCATGGTTGATTTCGGTCGTTTGAGGGTGAAGGATTTCCATGGTCGGGTTTTATTCAAGGTTTCCATGGTCGGTTTCGGTGGCTACCGTGATGTGTCGTGCTGGTGTGTCAGGTGGTTGTGGGGGCTGGGGTGAGGATCAGGGCGAGGGTCGTCAGGCAGGCGGAGTTCTATGGGTTGTCGTCTGGGTGCTGGAGTCGGGCAGGCGGAGTTATGGGCATTGCGTGAGACGGTTGCGGTGGATGGGTGGTTTTTCGGGGGGAGGAAAGGGGGATTAAGTGGAGTCGGCGGCATTGGTGGGGTCAAGGGGTTCCAGAGGGAGGTCAGGGGGTTCCGGCGGGTTTCGACGGGAGGTTAGGGAGTTCCGGCATGAGGTGAAGGAGTTCCGGCGGTTAGCTTTGGGTTGTCGGTTGGCTTTTGTTTGGGGGTAAAAATACCCTTAACAAATGGACCACTGTTAATACAACACGTGTCCCAATAGCATGCTGACACGTGTCAGCCTTAGAGAGTCCCAAAGGGATCTAACCCTCTACTGACACGTGTCACCTAAACCCTAGAAGGGGAACTGATCCCCTTTCTTATAAATAGAGGAACCATCCTCATTTATAATAAACATACATTGAATACACATTCAATCCACACCAAAACCGAGCAATATTCATTGCAGAATTCTCTCTGAATTAGAGAGTAGTATTTACATTCCGCAATATACTCCTCATACACATTCTAACTTGATCGTCGGAGGCGGAACTCCCACCCTTGGGAGTCTCCGTTGTTTTGCAGGTACAGACACCCGGAGGTCAGTCTCGGTGTTTTAACTCTCCTGCAGGACACATCAAAAAACCCCGAAACAGCTTTGGCAGGTGGTTACGGTGGTGGGGTTGGGTTGGGTTAGGATTTAGATTTTTTTTTAATTTTTAATTTTTTATTATTTTTTTTAAAAACAAATAGCTGACTGACACGTGTCCACATGTGTCATGATTAAACCCTAATGACTAACGGAGTTAACGGTCGTCAGTCATTAATGACACTCAGTGAATTTTTTTAAAACTATGTGCCATTTGGTGAATTTTGAAAACCTTGATAACATTTAGTGAATTATTAAAGTGCTCAGTGGTATTCGGTGAAATAGGCGAAAAAAAACCTAAATTAAAAAAAAAAATCCCATCCTCATTCCCGTTCAACAACGCTCCCCCCCTCCCTCCCTTTCCCCGATCTCCTTACTCAGCCATCTTGGCGGTTAGCGCTTCCCCCACCACCACCCCAACTCCAACCCGACCCTTTCTTATCTCCAAACCACCCAGACCATGCTCTCCCCGGCCCTAACTTTGTTTTAAGCGGTTTCAACCATGGTGGAGGGTGGGTTTAAAGTTTTAGGGCTCGTTCATTGATGGAGTGGGGGTTTCGGAGCTCTTGGAATTGGAGGGCTAAGGTGAGCTGGTTATATTGTGGAGGGGAAGGGGGTTTTCGGCTCTGTGGATGGAAGGGATGGAGTGGTGGTTTCGGTCAGGCTGCTAATGGCTAAGGTTGGGGTATGTCGGAGTTGTATTGTGGAGGGTAGGGTGAAGGCGTGTCGGGGTTTCGTTTGGGCTACTATTGGGTTTCCGGCGACGGTGGGGGTGATTTCGTTGTTGGTGGGAAATGAAGTGGTGGTAGATTGGTAGTAGGGGTGGTTGTTGTCGAGAATGGCTTAGGTTTGACAGGATGGGGGGCTGTTAAAGGTGTTTTTGTTTTTATCTTTTTAAAATTAAAATCTATCTTTTTAAAAGAAAATTGCAAAAAAAAAATTAAAAAAAACAAATGACGAATTATAGTGCGACACGTGTCACAATTTACCTTCCAAACAGATTACCAACCGGTTACGTCCTATATTGAGCAGATGAATGTTACAGGTCGTTTTATTCCAAAATAATCAAAATGCGTAAATAAAAATCCTAGTGATTTTAAAAATCTTATTTATCTATCTATAACTAATACTAAAGTAATTACCGCTGATCATAACTATCCATGTGGCAAATACTTATATAAAATAAGCTATTATGACTAAATACATAATTCCTATTCATATGGAATAAAAATAATTGACAGTTGGTCTCTTTCACATTTTTTTTTCCGCTTACATATTTTTTAAAAACAATGTCCTACATTTTATTAGTGATTGTAGTGTTTGGATTTTCCACTCTTTATTAATTCTTCAATTTTTTTAAAATGAAGCAAAAATGAATGCTAACATTTTTTAAAATTTAATTATAGTTATGAATTAATTAATTAGGATATTTAACATCACGTCCTTCATTTTAGCTGAATTAATCTAACAAGAGGAATCACGATTTATTAAGTTTTGGTTAACATATTTTAATTACACATTTACAAGTAAATTTTTTATAATTAAAATCGTGCATCTCATGAGACTAACCTAGTTGTAATACTGTAATAGGGACCGTTAAAAGTCAAATGAAACATTAATAAAAATAAAGCAATTACGGACTTATGGAGTATGTATAAGTTAGAGGTGGTCAACTACAGTGTGGCTCGACCCGACCCGACAAGTAGGGCGGATATGGGCAAGATATTTGTTTCTTTTTATGTTAAAACCCGAAGTTGGCCCAAAAAGTTCAAAAACCCAATTATTTGACCCGATGAACCCACCACTTTTTTGTGAATTTGTGCATGACATTTGATGTTGATGCCCGGCTTGAATTTTTGATCTAAAAGTCATGAAATTCATAAGAAAAAAAAGAAAAAGAAGAAAATAGAAAAGTGAGGAGGAAGATTTGTTTAAAAAAAAAAAAAAAAAAGTGTGAGTAGGAAGGCAAGGGAAGTTGGAGTCGGCGCCCGAGCGTCTGATGTCTCCGCCGACCAATCAAAGCGTCGCTATCAATAGGCACCTCTTCTTTTCCCTTCCCCTTCTCCCCTCGTAAACAAATCCCCCTCTTCCTCTCTTCTTCTCTCTCCTCCCTCCATCAAACATATATATTTCTCTGCTATTCGATTCAAACTTTTTTTTTTTTTTTTTTTTAATTTTATTTTGTTTAATTTATTTAGCTTTTGGTACAATTTATAACAAATACTTTTTTCATTCTCTGCCTTTCTTATATTCTTTCCTTCATCGTTCCCTTGGCTTCTTCCGTCAATTTTTTGGTTCTACGGGAGATGCCCTAATTATTTTCCTATAAATTCCTTTCTTCTAATTTTATTTCTGTCTTAAAGATATCCTTTTTAATCCAACTTATATAAATTACAACTTCAATCAAATTTTATCTAAGTTATGGGTATGATGGCTGTGGAACAATTACCAGATTTACAGCAGCAATCTGCTTGTAACAACCGGTCTGAGGATCTCGTTGACAAGAAGAAAAAGCGTCGATCTAATCGCCGTTCTAAGCAAATTCCTGGTATTTTTTTTTGCTTCTTCAGATTTTTATTTTCAAGTACTGTGCTATTGACTTTTTTTTTTATATACTTAGATTGCTTTTTTGTAAAAAGCTGGGAACTTTGATTTGGATAGAATAGGACAAGGTAGGTGTGCGAATGAATGTTAACACTGAAACCTTGATGACCTCATCGGGGACTGTGAGTGTTGATAAATGTTACTCCAATATTAATATTTATCACAATTGGGCTAATCCAATCCTCTCTCTGTAACTAGCTTTAGTTGAAGGCAGGATTGCCTTATCTATTGATAACTCTGTACATGAAAATTAACAAAAACAGGCATGGATTACTGATTACTCATACTCATCAGGTGGTTTTGGTTTTGTAGGGTCTGTTTGTAATGAAGTCGCCGGACATGCTTCTCATGGCTTCCATAACGATACCTTGTCAACAACTAGTTCTTCGTCTAACCAACTTCCACTGAACAATTCCTCCGATTCTGCTTTTAATAATTCCTCCTCAACAATGCATTTACTTCAACCCGTACCAAATCTCAACTCTGGTGTACAAGTTATTTCAAGGTCTTTTCCTACTCAACATACACATCACCATTCGGCTAGATTGCATGATAATGCTGATTTTATACCTCCTTACTTAGTTAATGGTTGTTACAAACAAAACCACTTTGATCCACACTTGTCATTGGATTTTGTTACGGAGGCATTGCAGGTTTGTCCATGCTTGTCCATGACATTATCTTTTTCATTTGCTCTATTATGCTAAACATGTAGCAGTGATAGTTTCCTCTAATTGTGCCCTCCTTTTTCTTCTTTCCTTGTCTTGTTATTCTAGAGAGGCGAGGTTTTCCAAGCAATACTACGTGTCAATGCACATAACAGACTCGAGGTTTGCTTTAACTCAATTTACTAAATTTTGGTCACCATTTTCTGATACAATGATTACCTTATCAAATCCTTTTTCTATTGATAGGCTTATTGCACAATAGAAGGTGTCCCAACAGATATTTTTATCAGTGGAATCCCTAGGCAAAATAGAGCTGTAAGTTTATTGCTACAATGCTACTTCTTGCTCTTTTTTCATGACTCATGCTGATGTACATGATTAATATTGCTGCTTTCACTTTTTCTTATTGGAATCAGGACTAATTAGCTTGTAGACTTTGATACTTGTTTTATTTGTGGTTGTGGATATCTAATTAGCCTTGTACGGTGGGGATTTGTTTTCTATGGGCATTTATTTCCCTAGGAGTTATCTATGTTCCTTTATTCAATATTGCCTATGATTTTAAGGGGTCAGATTTAGTGCATGTTTGGTTTAAATTTATCAAAGGAGATGGAATAGAAACATATAAGAAGGGGAAGGGTAACCATCATGATTATTAGCCCTTTGGTATGAATCGTATAATTAAGTTAAGGAATCCTTTGTATCAAATTGAGGATCAAGGAAGGTAATTTTGTTACCATAGTGTTGGAAAGGGCAAGAGATTGGTGATTATGGTTACCTTTAGAAATTGAGTGTGTTACTCATCCCTCATACCAAACAATAGGCTATCAAAACAATATTTTGATTCCGTTTCCAACTATTACCCAACATGCTCTTAGAAACAACCTTTATTCAGTTTCAAGAGGCATTATAACCACCCTTCTCATTGTAGGTTGGGTTCTTTAAAGAGGCATTGTGGTCATGATGTGGCAGTACGCTTGTACAGTTTTCCTGCATATCACCATTATATTTATCATCAAATTGTTTGTGTTCATTACCTGGATCTGGTTTGTGGATGTCAATCAGTAGCCGCTGAGGAAAATGAAGAGGTGTGTGTGAATTCAAATGAAGGGATTTATGTGAAATTTTCCTAAGTTTTGGGGGTATACCATGAACTTCCTCTAAAATGATAAACCTTACAAACCGTGTACCCATCTTTTGAACACAATACCTCTAAAGGGTGTTTTTTTTGAGATTGTATATTTGTATAGTCTTATTATAGATTTCCTGGAATCCTGGATATGCATCCGTGTTGGTGGTTCTTGAGGGCTTTTTGTTGCATTATTTCTTTCCATTTTTGTTTCATTTCAGCTAATTCCTATCATATTGTAATTTGTGCCACCTGCATAGTTGCAAAACCTATATAGCCTGCGGCACCTTGGTGAGTAGCAGCTTTCTAGTCCTGAACTCCTGATGCTAATCACATCTGTTTTTACGGATGAGTTTTATGCAGGTAGAAGGAGATGTTGTTGCAGTTAAGGTTGATTCTCCTCTATTGTGGAGTAAGATGAAAGGATCATCTGGTTCTGGGAGCAATTTGTCTCAGGTAGACAATCGTGATTCTTCTGTTTATGCTGAGATCAATCAGGACAGCTCCAAGGGAAAAACTTCACTGGATGTGGAATCTGGCCTTCAGCCTGTGACAAATTGTTCACTTGTTGAGGAAAATGGATGTGGGTTGAACTATATTAACGTGGATAGCTGTCATTGCTCTGGCTTAGATTCTTCACGTGAATTTCGTCCTCGTGGAGAGAATGAGGTTCTAAATTCAGTTGAGAAATTGTATCAAGCTGTTGTTTCCTCCCCATCTAAAAGACCAACTGGTAGGGTTGTGGCAATTATTGAACCCTCTTTTCGCAGAGATGTTGTGGTGGGTGTTTTGAAAGCTAATTGGTTGCTTCATTCCAAGGAAGGTTACCAAAAAGAGAACTATAATAAGAACACAAATTTGGTGCTTCCTTCCAATTGCAATTACATCCAATTAATACCAACTGACCCAAAGTTGCCTAAAATGATTGTGCCTGTGGGAGCTTTGCCACCTAATATTAAGAAAAGGTTGGATGCTGCAGATGTGTCAGTGGAAAGAGAACTTGTTGCTGCTCGGATAGATATTTGGCCAGAAGAAAGTTTACTTCCACATGCGTGTGTCATGCGTAGTTTTGGGCTAGGTGGGGAAGTGGAATCACGGATTGAGGCAGTTTTGTTTGAAAATGCAATTTGTACTTCTGATTTTTCTGAAGAGTCTCTTTCCTGCCTGCCAATTGAGTCATGGCAAGTCCCACAGACAGAGCTGCAACATCGAAAAGATATTAGAAACCTTTGTGTATTTACCATTGATCCTTCCACGGCCACTGACCTTGATGATGCCCTCTCTGTTGAAAGGTTGTCAGATGGAAACTTCAGGGTTGGGGTTCACATTGCTGACATGTCTTATTTTGTTCAACCAGATACACCCTTAGATATAGAAGCACAAGTTCGATCTACTAGTGTTTATATGTTGCGGCGTAAATTATCCATGCTACCTGCTTTGCTTTCGGAAAATCTGGGTTCACTTATTCCAGGAGTAGATAGGCTCACTTTTTCTATCTTCTGGGACTTGAATGTTTCTGGCCATGTCCTAGATAGATGGGTTGGTCGTACAGTGATTAGGTCTTGTTGCAAGTTGTCTTATGAGCATGCACAGGACATAATTGATGGTCGAATCAGTGTTAACAGTGTGGAGAATGGTGAAAACAGCTTTCCTCAGCTTTATGGCCATTTTACTTGGCTTGATGTTTTTCAGTCTGTCGGATATCTTAATGAGATATCTAAAGCTTTGAAGTTTAACAGATTTGTTGATGGTGCTCTGCGACTTGATAATGCCAAGGTTGTATTCTTAATGGATGAATTTGGAGTTCCATACGATAGCGTGCTTTGTGAGCGGAAAGAGTCCAATTTTTTGGTAGAGGAGTTTATGCTTTTGGCTAATAGGACGGCTGCAGAAATTATTTCTAGAGCTTTTCCAGACAGCGCTTTGTTGCGGAGGCATCCTGAGCCTAACATGCGGAAACTTAAGGAATTTGAAGTCTTTTTCAGCAAACATGGTTTAGAATTGGATGCTTCTTCATCTGGCAGCTTACATAGATCGCTGGAAAAGATTAAAGAGAAGCTTAAGGAAGATTCAATATTTTATGATATAGTAATAAATTATGCGACTAAGCCAATGCAACTGGCAAAATACTTCTGCACTGGAGATGCAACAGTGCCCAAGGATGGTTGGGGTCATTTTGCACTGGCAGTTCCCCTCTACACTCATTTCACTTCACCATTGCGTCGATATCCTGATATAGTTGTCCATCGGACATTAAGCGCTGTTATAGAGGCAGAGCAGAGGTATTTGAATTATCAAAGCAAAGGAAATAAACTCAGTCGGGCAGGGGATGTTAGGTGCTTTACTGGGATGAATTTTGATAAAACTGCTTTCCAATCTGTTGAAGGCCAGCAGGCATTATCTGATGCAGCACTAAAGCACAAGCTATCATGTAGGGAAACACTCACAGATGTAGCCTCCTACTGCAATCAGAAAAAATTGGCAAGTCGTCATGTCAAGGATGCTGTTGATAAACTGTATATGTGGGTGTTGCTGAGGAATAATGAGGTTTGTCCTGTTTCTTTGTAACTATACTTGTTAGTTAATTTAGGTATCAATGTTGGTGAACATAGTATTTTCGTTTTTTCCTAGTCTGCAAGCCTTTCATTTCATAAGCATGAGAATTAGGGTCAACTTAAGCATACTTTTCCAATATTACAGTATGGCAACTGTCATGGACATGTAATTAATGACTTTGCCGTACCTTTGTTCATTTTGCAGATTTTGTTTTCAGAAGCTAGAGTTTTGGGAATAGGTCCAAGGTTTATGTCCATATATGTGCAGAAGCTCGCGGTATGTGTAGGATTTTGGCTTCATAATTTAAGGTAATCGCAATGTTTACTCTTTCTCAATTATCTTGTGACCTTTTTTTGTTAGATTGAGAGGCGTATATATTACGATGACGTTGATGGCTTGATAGCGGAATGGCTTGAGGCTACATCTACACTTGTTCTCAACTATGTGCACCATAATAATAAGCGCTTCCAACGGAGAGGTAACCAATACAAGCCGCTGGAAGAAGTGGCCTTAGTTTGTAGTCCTTGCAACTTGGAACCAGATTTTGATGCTTTGCAAAATGACAATTCTGGCAAACCATGCGAGCCTACAGATTGTCTGAAAAATTCTTGTCAGCCTGTAGTGAAAATTGATCCTGTTGTTTTCCCCCTCACAATTCGTGTTCTGTCTACAATCCCTGTTGCACTTCATGCTGTTGGTGGAGATGATGGGCCTCTGGATATTGCTGCGAGGCTCTATGTTACTTCGTATTTCAGGTGACTTCACAATTGTGATTTAAAAAATCTCTGAAAATGGAGTTCTCTTTCATGTGGGAATGCTGGATCTCTGTTTGTAGATAGTGAAGTTGGTGTACAGTCAAACATACGTGCATTCAATTTTAAGGACTCCGTAGTAGTTTCTTTCTGACCCGAACATCTCGTCTGGTGTGAGGTGTACCAATTAGAAGAAGGGTATATGCTCTGGCCATTGGTAATAGTGGCTATTTTTATTATAAGCTGCTTTTGGGGGGATCAGGTCCATGATGTATTTTTTTTGAAGTCGGGCCAGTCAAACCCTTAGCATATACCCTCTTCTTTTTCCCTCACTTCTCTAGTTTTTATTATTCCTCTTCTTCTTCACTCTCACTCTTTTTTTTTTTGCTGCTGCTGTTGCCCAATGTCTTTTATAAATTTTGGGTAGCTCAAAGCTGCACAGATAAGAAAGGTTGCAGGAAGTAATATCTTCTACAGAAGCGACTTTTCCAGGGGTTATTTTTTCTTACCATAATGCTTCAGTTGATGAGGCATAGTGTGCATTTAACTTTGGACGTTGTTGTTTTCACATAAGTACTCCCTCCAGCAATCTGTAATGGACGAAGGGAGCAGTTGATTAAGTTTGTTTGCGTGGAATAATATTTTGATTTGACTGTTGTGATCTTAAATTATTTGTACGGAGTAGTGTTTAATGGAAATCTTTTAATGTTGATTTCTGCGTCATACTCCTAGTACTCTAGTAGGCATGCTGTATACATAAAATCTTATGTCCAGCAACTTTGTGTTTGTGGTATGATCAAATAATTTTTCCAGTGAAGTATGGTTTGTTCAATATTAATTATGAACAGAACTCTGAATTTTAGGTTGTGTTTGTTTTGGAGGAACTTTTTCCAGTTTTCCCTTGTTTGGTTTTGACCGGAAGAAGAAAAGGAAAACTTAACTTTTCAACTAGTGGAAACCATTTTCCTCCAAGCAAACGCATAGGTGTTACTATAGTATTTTTTTAATTTTTTTTTTTTTTTGACGCAAGGATGTTATTATTTTTTCTAAAGCATATTTTTGCTCTTCAAGATTAGGGAGGGTGGTTTCATTGAAAGATGCCCAAGCCTCGGTCAAAATGTGTATTTGAATATTGCAAATTAATTTATGATAGCATGCCTATTGAAACTAAGCCTAAACATCAATTCTCATCTCTCGAATCAATATTGCAAACCTCACACAATTAAACCTGCGCAAATCTAATTGTATAGAAGTAATTCAATCAATAGGAAATTAATCAATCATTAATAATTAACAATAATAATTTACCCCTTCGTATTATTTATGGATCTCCACAACCCTAGAATTAAAACTACGCGTGCATAATTAAATCTAAACTAAGCAAAGCATATAAAGAAAGCATGATTAAAACAATAATTATAAACTAATATCAAAATAATTAAACCAAAGAAAAAACAAAGAAATAATATTAAAACTAAATAATAATAATAAAATTTGATAAGAAAAAGAAAAGAAAAGAAAAGCTAAAACTAAACTAATCTAAAACTACTAATCTCCAAAAACTAAAACTAAGATAATGTCACCCACCAAAAACTCCAAACTAATCTACGTAACTACCCCACCTTTTATAAGAAAGGAAAAAGAGTTTTATTCCCCTTCAAAATCTAACCCACTAAAAACAAAACTATCAGCTAAAAAGAAGTCCTCAAAAGCGTGGAACAAAGCTTAGTAAAAGCCTATTAACCGCCTCAACATCTATTGGGCTATTTTGCAACAAGGCCCGGCCAAACTATAGCAGCAACAACATAATTGGTATACACTAGACCCTAGTGTAGGTAGCCCAACCTACACTCCCTCTAAACGCAGCGTTTAGAGTTACTACCCACACCCCCTCCACTAACCCACAATAATTACCCACTCCCCACAATAACCACAGTAACTGCATAACTCACTTCCCCTACCCCACATATATATACATAAAAAAAATAAAAAAAAAAAATCAATTTCAAATCATTCTCTCTCTCTAAACACCATCTTCTTCATTTCTCTAGAGTTTCTCTCTCATCAAACCCAACGAATCGGAACAAATTTCAATTTAAATCACTGAAAAATTGCTTCAAAATACTCCAAAATTGCTTCAAATGTCTGATATTCGAGAAGAAATTAAACAATCACAACAAAAAGAGTAAGTAATTTCGTTAGTTTTGTTCATTTTTTGAGATTGTAGTGCAATTTTATGTGTGAAACCTTAATTTTGTTCATTTTGTTGCGATTGTAGTGCGATTTTGCAAAAAACCACTACAGAGAAGAACATGAAAGAAGAAACTGCAAAATCGGAGCAAAATGTATCTAAAGAGTAAGTAATTTTGTTCATTTTCTTTCGATGACAATTATAGTGCGATTTTATGTGTGAAACCTAATTTTTGTTCAATTTTTTGCAATTGTAGTATGATTTTGGAGAAAAATACTTCACAGACGAGTAATTTGTTGAAAATTTCTGAAGAAATGTATGAACCCTAACTTTTGTAAAACCTAATTTGTTCATATTCTTGCGATGAAAATTATAGAGCGAATTTATTTGTAAAACCTAATTTTTGTTAAAATTTTTTGCGATTGTAGTAATTGTTCTAAGATTTTACTGAAAATAACTAAAACATTAACAATTTATTAAATAAAACAGAGACGATGATGATGATGTACCTCTTCAGTCAAGAGTAGACAAATTGAAAAAAAACCGCCAAAATGATCCAATTGTAGATCCGGAACTTTTAAAAGATATTGACAAGTCAATTGGTACGGATTTAACAATGTCTCCACTACCAAGGTAATTAGTCATTTACAGAATATATTATGTTCATGTCTAATATGCTAGTTGTATTTGATAAAATTGGTTTTATCTTTGTTTAATATGTTATTTGTATATGATCATATTTGATACTCATAATGTTCATTTATAGATATAGTTATGATCATATATTTATATTTGTTCATATGAGTATTTATTGAGATTTAAAAACAAAAGTACATTTCATTGAAACATCATTGTATATGATCATATTTGATACTCATAATGTTCATTTATAGATATAATTATGATCATATATGTATATTTGTTCATTTGAGTAGTCATTGAGATTTAAATAACAAATATACATTTCATTAAATCATCATGCACATATATAAATATGATAATAATCATTTCAGTGATATGCATTCAAACTAATGTCATGTAATTAATTTATAATGTAGTGATGTGCCATTTAGAGTGATACACTTGCTTCAATTTAGAGATGGGAAATCTGAACCATTAACTCTAAAGAAGGTTATAGAACAAAATGAATATGGTAATAGTTATGAAAGATACACTTTAAACAAGTAAGTTTATATGTATAAAATAATTGTTTTTACATTCAATTATTGTACATTGTATATATATACCAAACTTATTAGGTAATTCTTAAAATTTTAGTGAAAAAAAAAGGTTCGAGTGAAATTTGTTATGTCAAAATCAAGACCACCAGAGACAAATCAAACAATAAGGTATAAAAGCTTTATACAAAATAACTAATTATCTTCTTCATTGTATAAATTAGTTCATACTTTAATATCATATTATATAAAATAATTCTGTTTTTTTTAAGTGAACAAAGTGAGAACATTCCTGCTACTAATGCAACAACTAAGAGTGTGTCTGCTACACATAACACAACTGACAAAGAGAGTAGGGATGAAAGGTATACTAATGATCAATTTTATATAAACAAATGTTCATTTTTATAACAGTATATTTTATGTACAATTTATGTGCATTTTTTATTTAAAGTATTTCTTAATATTGATTTCAGCAAGCAAGAAGAAGTTCAACCAAAAGTGCAAAGCAATCCAGTAAAGAATAGTCTTGGCCAAAAGTAAGAAAACTTAAATGTTCAATTTAGATAGACTATATGTTCATTTGAAAATCAGTACAAAAAAGTTTGCTCATGGCCAATAGTAATATAAGTTATATGTTCATTTTTTTATTTACTAATCAAAATTGTAAATTCAAACATATTTTTAATGAAATATCAGAAAACCCAAAGATGATTCAAGAATAACAACATTAAAGGACAAGATGCAAGAAATACATTTAGACATAGAGAGAAATTAAATAATTGAATTAATTTAATCAATTAATGAATATATTTCAAAGTTAATATCATACATTTACAGAAAGTACAAAGAATCGACAATCAGAATTATGAGAAATCTCAAAAGAATGGAAAAGGCAAGCAAGGAAATCAGGAAAGGTAAATGATCATATTTATTGAATATTTTTGTTTAATAGTCATAAATATCAATTTTAACAATACTATTACTTTTGAAGGTGAAGCAAAAAAGAAAGAAAAAGGGCCAATAGAAGAGAAAACTGTGGAAAAAGGTAAAAATTTTAAAATGTACATTTTTATTACAAAAAATGTTCATATTGGAAAAGCATAATATTAAATATTCAATAAGATTAAAAAAATTAAATTTTAACTAAATAAATTTTAATAGAAGTACAAGAAGGAAAAAAAGGGACTGAAAAAGAGAAAAGCCCTAAAGACAAAACTGTGGAAGATGTCTTTCCAAAGACAACAAATGTAGAAGGTAAAAATTTATAAATGTACATTTTTATTACATAAAATGTTCATATTGGATCTACATAATATTGAATGTTCAATAAGATTAAAAAAATATATAAATATTAACTAATTAAATTTTCATAGAAGGACAAGAGGGAAAAAAAGAGCCTGAAAAGGAGAAAATCCCTAAAGAGAAAACAGTGGAAGATGAGTCTACAAAGACAACAGATCCGAAAGGTAAATAGTGGAAAATGTACATATTCATTACCTGAAATGTTCATTTATATTGTATATAGTAAACATTTGTCATCCAATTTAATAAATGTTTATTTAATCTTTTATATTTGATCATTTCATATGCAGCACAAATTGCACCTGATTTTGTTCAAATTGAGGATGAAACTTATCTTCTAGATCAAGATGATGATAAAGTTTCCACAAAACTTAGTGAGGAGACAGCTCCATCATCACAAAAAAGTGATCAGTCAACCAAAATGAAAACAAGATACAAAATGGTTGCAAGGAAAAACAAAAACAAAAGCCTTGTTGTTGTGCCAAGTGGTAGAATTACAAGGAGCCAAGGTAATCATAATACTTTTCTGTTACACAATAAATATTACACTTTCAAATATACTAACATAAATTTTTTTAAAAACAATAGATGTTCTGTTAGATGAATCTGAAAAGGGAAGCCTGAAGAAGGATGTTGAACCTGCTAAAGAAACCGCAAAAATAGGACAGAAGAGAAGAATGTCTACAAGGAATTTTCCTATTCAAAAGGAAGCTGATGCACCACCTCCAGCACCTACTCCAATAAAAAAAAATGGCAGGTGCTCCTGCTGAATATCCTCCAGACCAAGGCAAAAAGGGTAAATGTTCAATCTTAATGTATAGAATGATCATTTATGATGGTATATCATTAATGTTCAATTTCAATATATAGGTGGGAAAAAGAAAACTCTAGAAGAAGTGAAGAAAACTTCTAAGGTTGCTGGCAAAAGAAAAGCAGGTATATAATGATATATTATAAATGTTCAATTTCTATATATAGAATGATCATTTGAGAAAACAATTTTGTTCATTTTATCATTTGCTTACTGTACATTTTCAATACTTAAACAAAATTATATATTTAATTTTCAGATGTCAGTCCTGCCAAGAGAAATGCTGGAAAGAGAAAAAAAATACAAGAAGTACCATCAGATGAACCCTCTCAAGATCCTACTGATGAAAGTTCTACTGACAGTGATGATGATAGTGAAGAGTCAGTTTATAGAGCAGAAGAAGAGCCTGTCAGTGAGGATGATTATGAGGTGGAGGAAGAGGAGGAAGAGGAAGAAGTAAAGCCAAGGAAGAAACAGGCAAAGAAAGGGAATTCAGTGAAGGCAAAGGTTGAAAAGGAGGAGCAAAAGATGGTACTGTATGATGAAGGAAAGATTGAAGGTAGGAGAAAAAAGAAAATGAAAACTGAAATGGTTCAAGCAATAGAAACTGATGAAGTTGAGGAAATTCAGGAAGATGAATTTGAGGAAGAGAAATCTTCAAAGAGAGGAGGACATGTGAAGTTCATTGCATGGATAAAAAAGATGACACCTACCCAAAAACAACAAATTATTGATATAGGGTTAGGATCACTTCTTGACATTAGTTTACCTCAACTTGATCAAAAGTTCTGTAACTGGTTATTGGGAAGTTTTGAAGAAAATAGCCAGTGTTTTGAACTACCAAAGAATGAAAAAATAGAAATTGAGGTAGAGGATGTTAGGGTAGTTTATGGCTTGCCTACAGGAGAAATTCCAATTGTTGAGCCAAAGTCTGATAAAATTAGTGAGGAGTATGCAGAATTTCTGAAGAAATGGAGAAAATCATGGTCAGGAAAAACTCCATCAGTGAGTCAGGTATGATCAGTTTTAAATGTTCATTTTAAATACATTAAATGATCAAAAGTATAAATGTTTTGTTCATTTTGTTTGCAGATTGTGAATGGATACATAAATGATAAATTCACCAACAACAGACCACCAAGTGAACATTTCATTACTAACTTTTTAGCAGTGGCTGTGAACTGCTTGATGAAATGTGTATCAAACAATCAATGCCATTTCAAATTTCTTTATTCTATGATGGACAAAGAAAACATAAAAAATTTGAACTGGTGTCAGTTTGTATATGACTCACTTATCAAATGTCATGTTGATTGGAGAAAGCAGCAAGGCAAGGGGTTCTACAAAGGCCCTCTTCAATTTCTGATGGTATATTCTTAGATACAAGATGTTCATTTAAATTTAAATAAATGCACTTTTTTTTATTGTTTATGTTCTGTTCCATGTTTTCTTTTTTCTTGTAGTTGTTCTATTTTGATAGAGTTCAGAGGTTAGACAAAAGGCCTCCAAGAACAATTCCTATCATATCTGCATGGAATAGAGACATGGTTCTTGAGAGGTTGAAGATTGAATTAGAATTGGGATTTGGGAGAGGGAAAATTCTACCAAGGATTGCTGCAGAAGTTGAAGAAAGTCCTAAGGTTATAAAATGATCACTTTTGTTAACATAAATGTTCATTTGTATAATCTGAAATGTTCAACTGCATAATTTTTAATATTCATTCATATAGGTTTTTATGGATGATTTTGTTTCCCTGGTAAAAACAACTTGTTCAAACCTGTCAAAGCTTTCTTCAAAATTGGTGAAGGCAAAGGATATCTTCCCTGGAAATGACTTGGTGAAAAAAGTTGATGAAGTTTTAGGAAAGGTGGTAGCTAGGGAACCATCAATTCTAAGCCAAGATGAAGAATTCTTTGGCAGTGAGGATTTCCTAAATGCACTTGCACAAGCTGAGAAGAATCTGATGCAAGGGTCTGAAAAGCAAACAACTGAGAAGCAAATGACTGGGAAGAAATTAACCAAAAAGGGAAAGGAAAAAGAACAAGAATATGACATCAGAAAAGCTTTCAGCTTGGGGTTGACTCCACCTTCTCCAGCCATTGGTAAATTCTAACTAAAAGAGACTATATATCCTAATTTTTATATGAAAAATTCTAAATTTGTGGTCTAAATTGTCCTAAACAGAAACAGGGCCCACCTTTTCAACACTTGGTGATATAATTGAACAACCAATAATTTCAACAAATGGTAATATGTTCATATATTTAATAATAATGTACATAAACTTAAGTAGAAATGTTCATTTCTAATTATTATGTGTAAATACTATTAACTTAGTGTATCTCCAAAATGATGATTTATAATACAGCTGGAGAAAAGGATGTGGGTAAAACTTCAGCAGCTTCAGAACAAAGAATTGAAGAATTTTCTAGAACTGGTATAATGTTCAATTAAAAAGTGTAAAATGTTCATTTACAAACAAGAAATATTCATTATTAATTGTATTATTTTGTTAGACGCAGCAACTGGTTCAAAATTTGATGCTGACACTAGGTCAGATAATGAAGGATTGCCTAGAACAGGTATAATGTTCAATTATAAATACTCAAATGTTCATTTACAAAGAAATTATATTATATCTAATTAAATTTTTTCTTAGATGCAGGATCTGGTTCAGTGGTTGATGCTGACCCTAGGTCAGATGGTGGTGAAAAAAGTGATGATCCAAAAAACACAGTTGGAGGTGGAAAACAAAACAAGGAAGATGTTTTTGAAAAAACAAAAAATGATGAAAAAGTGGAGGGGTAAAATCCTGAAGACATGTCTTACTATTAGGGTTATGTAATGGTGTAGGATAAAATATCTAGATGGAACAATTTAACTTATGTTACTATCGTGTTGTAACTTGAAACTGGTGTTTCTCAAACTATTGTATGTGTGAACATTATTTTGTTGAATATGTAATATGAATGTATGGTTTATGTTAAATCAATAGGTTTATGTTAAATCAATATCTTTCATTTTATGAATTGAAAATGATTCAGGGTGTTACATAAGAAGCTTTTATTTTATTAATATGTACTGACATTGTTTCACTTTTCAGTGAAAACAAGAAGATTGTTGCTTCATCCTCAAAAGTCACAAAAAGGTACATTATTTATATTAAGTAAATGTTCAAAAATAATAATGAACATTTTCATATACCTAAATGTACATTTGTGTTATGTAATATGACCAGGAATGATGATAAGAAAAAGTCAATTGCAGAAAAGAAGAAAAAAACTGAAAAGGAAAAGGTTGAAAGGTATAATTTCAAATTTATTTATATACACTCAAATGTTCATTTATGTTCCTCATAATTTTCTTAATTTAACAATATTTTATATTGAACAACAAGACCAAAACGCGAAAAGAAAACAATTCCTCCTGCTTTCCGATCTCCTTACTTGGTCAAGTACAAGGATCTGTTTAAAGATGAGAAAGCCATGAACCAAATTGCAGTAGACTTTGCTCTTGGTGGAAAAGATGAAAGGTAATTACTTACACTAATTAAACTTAAGGTTTAATATCTTTTATAAAAATATGTTCACATTCATATTATTAAATGTTCATAATGCAGTGCACTCTTATACTATGATGGCTTGAATCTCATCAATAGAAATGAAATGAAAACTCTTGGAGATGATGTTGAAGTGACAAATTGTGTCATAGATGGATGGGCAAGGTTTCTTAATCATAAAAAGCCGAGAAACAAGATTTATTTCTCAACAGTGCTTCATGTTAGTCTTTCTTCTTTTTTTATATTATTGATTCTATTTTCCTATGATAAATAATTGCTAAAAATTCATTTAACTTCTATATGTTTGTTTGTATTTCAACAGCACATTATGTGCACAAATAGAGTTTGTCAAGAAGGATCATCAATGAAGACAAGAATTAATGCCTTCATAGAAAGAATTGACAATGAACTGAAGTTGAATAAAATTGACAGCATTGTTGGATATAAACAGGTATTAATTCTTGTTTAATACAAATGTTCAATTACCTTCAATATATTGTCCAATAACATTATATAATTTGTTCAGGTCTTCTTCCCAGTATCAACTTCTTAACATTTTTTTCTGTTGTGCGTCAATCATATAGAAGACAAAATTCATATAATTGACAATAGAAAACTACCAAAAAAGGTATCAGTCCAAGCAAAATATGAAGAACAACCAAAAATGATGGTGAGATAATATGTTCATTTATAGTTGACTACATGATCAATTATATTTTATTAATTGTTCATGTCTTCATCACAATACAAACTTCTAAACAATTTTTACTCTTTTTTCTATCAGTTAAAAGGATTGGCAGAGTACATGAAACACCTTGGATATCAAGATGCAAAAAGAATTGAAGACTACACAGTTGTTTTGGAAAAGATGAAATGGCGTAGCAACAATGACTATACAAACTGTGGAGTTTACATTATGAAGCATATGGAAACCTTCACTGCTGATCCTAATGAGAGCTGGATTTGTGATTTAAAACCAAACAATGTAAGAGTTATAAATGATCAATTATTTAAGATATAATATTCATTTATGAAACAGTAAAGATTGTTTAATTAAAATTTGACAATTCATTTTGTTCAACAGGTGGAACAAATTAGAAATCTAAGGCTCCAATACACAGCAGAACTGATGTTATTTGAAGAAAACACTGAATCAAGAGCAAATAGAAGGAAAGCTAGAAAATTTGCAACTTTGTAGTTTCAAATGTTCATTTACAACTATGTATATGTTCATTTCTTATATATGACTATTTTTTTTTTTTAGAAGTAGACTTATGGATTTTATTTTAATATTATTGTAATTGATATTTCATTTTAATCTTTGAATGAAAGTTTTTTATATAATAGATCGAAAATTCAAAATTACAAAATAGTAATTAAATCAACATTACAAAAAAGTCTAATGTTTATAAAGTTCTGGAATACTAATTATTTATCTTTATTAGCCAAACGTTTAGCTACACTTGTATCAAAAAAGGCTAACAACTTATCATATTTAGAAGAAATCTTTTTAGAACCTAATTGAACATTTCTTGATTGAAGAATTGGAACACGAGCACCTTGATCATTTCTTTGAACTGTGGAGGAGTAACTTGAACATTCTGAACAGGAAATCCTTGATCATTTATTTGAACCGTAGGAGAAATAACTTGAACATTTGTTGATTGAACATTCCTGGAGTTGGATATGATCATTTCTGGATTGGTGTTTGAACAATTCTGAGTTTGATTTTGAACATTCCTGGGAACAGTAGGTTGAATAACAACAGGAGATTTTGTTGACGCACTAGTATGAATTGGAACTCTTGGATTAATTTGAGAGTAAGTTTTAACACCAGAAGCACCTTTATTTGCACCAAAATTAGAACAAGGTTGAACAGCAGAAACACCTTCAAGATTTAAATCCTTCGCCTTTAAAAAAAATTAAATTGATCATTAATAAACCAGTATATGATCAGTTACAAACACTAATACAAAAAAATATGGAAAAAAAAAACCTTAGCAATAGATGAAATATCAACATCAATAGATATGATAGATGAAAGAGAGCTTTCACCAGTAGCCTACAAAAAAACCAAAAAAAAATATAAAAAATAAAAAATTAAATAAAAAAAAAATATAATATAGATCATAAATGTTCATATACCTGATCAAAATCATTGGAAATACTATGATTTGATTCCTTAGAACTAGAAGGAATTTCTTCTACAACAGCTGATTTTAAGCCGACCTATATTTTTAAATTATAAAAATCAATATTAATAAAATATAAATAATTTTTTTTTTTTGGCACATTTGAATTTACCTGAGCCCGTTTATTGCTCAAAACAATCAATTCAATGGGATCACTAATAGAATTAGCATAAGTAACAGCACAACCGTTCTCATCAAGTTCCTATTTAAAAAAAAAAAACATAAATGATCATTTACGAAAACTGAAATGATCAATTTGAAAATATGAAATGATCATATACCTGTACAACTGCTTGCCCTATACCCCTTTTGTAAGGAGTGTACAAAGACTTTTTCCTCTTGAAATTACCCTTTGCCTTGTTACACTGCTTCTCCAAGGTACTCTTAGGCCTTACATTCCTCTCACCTTTAGGCCTAGCTTTTAGAGGATTCTTGATCTCAAGATCAACAATTTCAACCTCTTTAACAGGTTCACTAAAGTCAATTACACCTGATACACTCTCAACCTTTTCTTTTAACAGATTGAAATAACACTCAACCTCTGCCCTTGCATTCAAAGAATTCTGACAACTTGTTATCAACTTAACAAACTTTCTGATTGTTTGTGACCTCCAAACACTAGTAGCCACAACATTTGTCCTCAAAGTAGGTTCTTCAATACCATGACTACACATGGCAGCCTTTGTCCATCGTTTCATTATATACTCTTGTGGAATATTACGCACACAATGCAAATGATATACTCGAAGAGAATGAGAACAAAGTAAACCAGTCTCACTAAAGTACATGCATGTGCAACAAATTGCATGTGTTTCCTTATTAAAAACAACTTCATGCTTAATTATATCCTTCCCAGGCCTCCAAAGAAGATATGAATATTCTGGAAAACGCAAACCATTATCAACATGATCATAAGCTGTCCCCCTAATGAACTCCTCTTCAAAAAGAACATAAGCTTGAATAGTGTACAATGATCTTGCATGATCTAATATACCAATATTAGCAAAAGCTAGGTGCCTATTACCCCTCAGAGTATTGTAATCTCTTGCACCTTCCTTACTTCTCCACTCAGAAATGACATCAAGAAAAACATGATAAAAATCACATAAACCTTGAGTCTTATTAAGACGTTGTGAAACTGACTTATTAGTAGTTTCACTACGTTGAGAAGACAATATACCACCAGACCAATACTTCTTAGAATAAGCAGGACACCACATTTCCTTTATTTTATACAAATCACATAACCAATCATCATTTTCACATTTGTATTTATCACACATCCTGTATAACAGAAATGATCATATATTAATTTAAAAATGAACAAAATATAAATTAAAATATGTACATTTGTGTAAAGAATAATGATCATAAACAATATGGACACTAATAATATTATGATAACATACATAACAAAGTAAATTGTATGATCATATGTAAAACACTAAATGTTCATATATATATCACATAATAATCAAATATATCACATAATAAAAATAAAAAATAAATACAAAAAACAATAATTTACCTTTTCCAGAAATATTCAAATTCAGCAGGAGTTTCACAATACTTCAAAAGATATCCAAACAAATCTGTAAAGCCTTCCAAAGCTCTCAATGCTACAATGTGTTTCTTAGAATTTTGTTCAAGATGCCATACACATAAACGATGATGAACAGTTGAAGGAAAAATGTTTCTTATACCCGCTGCAATCGCTTGTGCTTGATCAGTCATAATTGTAATGGGACTTTTCCTCCCCATTGAGTGCAAAAATGTATCAAACAACCAATCAAAAGACTCGGTGCGCTCATTAAGAATAAAACCCATACCAAACATGACATTGTTACCATGATGGTTCATCCCAACAAATGGAGCACATATCATTCCATATTTATTAGTTCTATAAGTTGTATCAAAAACCAACAAATCTCCAAAGTAATGATAATCTCTCATCATCCTACCATCACGCCAAAAAAAACTAACTAAAGCACCACTATCATCTTGTTCAAAATCATAATAAAAATCTGTCTCATCCACATGTCTCTTGGCAAAATATTTAATCAATTGGTTACCATCACATCCTTCAATTTGGGCAGCTTTTTCAGATGACAATGCATTATAAGCATCAGAAGCAGTAAAACAAAGATTAGGAGATCCCCCAACCTCCTTCTTTAGAACCCTCAAAGAATCAGTAACTTTGACTCCACTCAATTTCATTGTTGAAATGAAAAGAAGCTGCTCTTTATTCACATCTCTTTGAGACCTTATCAAATGCCTTTTTTCAGGAGGAATCATAGCATGATTATGAACCATTTCATGTCTTGTACATGTATAGACCCCTAAATGATCAATATGAAACTGCACAAAAGCTAAACAACCAGTTCGATGATCCAACTTCTCATAAATCCTTTTATTCTTACACTTATTATCTTTGAATCCCTCATTACAACAAACAAATCTTTTCATCAAAAAAGAATCATCTCTTCTTCTCTTACTCTTCCCAATTCGAATTCCAAAACCTTTCCTAAAAGCATATTCATTATACGCTTCGAAAGCTTCATCTTCAGATTTAAATTCTTTATCCTTTAATTCAGACTGTTCTGCTTCTAAATACATAATATCATCATTTTTTTCCACTGCACAATATACAATTATAAATGATCATAAAGAGTTTCATGAATGAACAATAACAAATAAGTAAAATGTTCAATATCAAAACAGCACATGATCAATTGCAAAAAGAATTTCAGCACATAATATTTTGAACAATATTTTCATTATTTACCACTACACATAATATCGATATAAAAATGTAAAAATAAATGATCAAAAATGACTTTAAGACTGAACATAAACACATTAGTAACAATGAATAAGAAAACATAAACGATTAATTGAAAGTATAATCTACAAAATATACGACAAAAACACACAATTCTAAAACACAGAGAAAACAACAAATGAAACAACAAATGAAGCAACAAAATGTTCATACAAAGTACAACAATCCAAAAACGTTCATCATAATGTAATCAAAGTAGTAAATTCAAAAATCGAAAGTGAATAATAATACATCAATTAAGTTCAAATTAACAGAGCATTATAACAGAACAAATTAGGGATAATTAAAAATTGAAAAATTATGATCACAATTACTCACATTGTTGCACAAACGAATCAACGAAACGAAGTCCAGAAGGAAACACACGCTCGCAATCGCGATCAAAATCAACGCAATCTCCAGATGCAGAATTCGCCATTGATGATCGGTAACAATTAACGAATTCGTTCAAAAAATCAAATGAAGAAGATGAATTAGCGAGAGAAAAATGTAGATCAAAAATGGAGGTTGGTTGATCAATTGAAGAGAGAGAAAAAATAGGGTTTAAAATCATATATATACATAAATTGAATAATAAGAATCAAAGGAAAAAGGAAAAAAGAGGAAGAAAAGAAAAAAAGAAAAAAAGGAAAAAAAAAAAAAAAAAAAAGGAAAGAATCGCAAAAGGGAACTCAATACCAGCTACAAAACGACGTAGCATAGGGGGGGTGTAGGGAACACACCCTACACTAGGGTGTAGGGTAAAATTTTCATCGGGCGTGTGCTTGTTGTTGCTGAAAATTTGTTTATATAAAATGAACTTCACATGTCCTCCTCTCTTTGAAGATTTCTCTTCCTCAAATTCATCTTCCTGAATTTCCTCAACTTCATCAGTTTCTATTGCTTGAACCATTTCAGTTTTCATTTTCTTTTTTCTCCTACCTTCAATCTTTCCTTCATCATACAGTACCATCTTTTGCTCCTCCTTTTCAACCTTTGCCTTCACTGAATTCCCTTTCTTTGCCTGTTTCTTCCTTGGCTTTACTTCTTCCTCTTCCTCCTCTTCCTCCACCTCATAATCATCCTCACTGACAGGCTCTTCTTCTGCTCTATAAACTGACTCTTCACTATCATCATCACTGTCAGTAGAACTTTCATCAGTAGGATCTTGAGAGGGTTCATCTGATGGTACTTCTTGTATTTTTTTTCTCTTTCCAGCATTTCTCTTGGCAGGACTGACATCTGAAAATTAAATATATAATTTTGTTTAAGTATTGAAAATGTACAGTAAGCAAATGATAAAATGAACAAAATTGTTTTCTCAAATGATCATTCTATATATAGAAATTGAACATTTATAATATATCATTATATACCTGCTTTTCTTTTGCCAGCAACCTTAGAAGTTTTCTTCACTTCTTCTAGAGTTTTCTTTTTCCCACCTATATATTGAAATTGAACATTAATGATATACCATCATAAATGATCATTCTATACATTAAGATTGAACATTTACCCTTTTTGCCTTGGTCTGGAGGATATTCAGCAGGAGCACCTGCCATTTTTTTTATTGGAGTAGGTGCTGGAGGTGGTGCATCAGCTTCCTTTTGAATAGGAAAATTCCTTGTAGACATTCTTCTCTTCTGTCCTATTTTTGCGGTTTCTTTAGCAGGTTCAACATCCTTCTTCAGGCTTCCCTTTTCAGATTCATCTAACAGAACATCTATTGTTTTTAAAAAAATTTATGTTAGTATATTTGAAAGTGTAATATTTATTGTGTAACAGAAAAGTATTATGATTACCTTGGCTCCTTGTAATTCTACCACTTGGCACAACAACAAGGCTTTTGTTTTTGTTTTTCCTTGCAACCATTTTGTATCTTGTTTTCATTTTGGTTGACTGATCACTTTTTTGTGATGATGGAGCTGTCTCCTCACTAAGTTTTGTGGAAACTTTATCATCATCTTGATCTAGAAGATAAGTTTCATCCTCAATTTGAACAAAATCAGGTGCAATTTGTGCTGCATATGAAATGATCAAATATAAAAGATTAAATAAACATTTATTAAATTGGATGACAAATGTTTACTATATACAATATAAATGAACATTTCAGGTAATGAATATGTACATTTTCCACTATTTACCTTTCGGATCTGTTGTCTTTGTAGACTCATCTTCCACTGTTTTCTCTTTAGGGATTTTCTCCTTTTCAGGCTCTTTTTTTCCCTCTTGTCCTTCTATGAAAATTTAATTAGTTAATATTTATATATTTTTTTAATCTTATTGAACATTCAATATTATGTAGATCCAATATGAACATTTTATGTAATAAAAATGTACATTTATAAATTTTTACCTTCTACATTTGTTGTCTTTGGAAAGACATCTTCCACAGTTTTGTCTTTAGGGCTTTTCTCTTTTTCAGTCCCTTTTTTTCCTTCTTGTACTTCTATTAAAATTTATTTAGTTAAAATTTAATTTTTTTAATCTTATTGAATATTTAATATTATGCTTTTCCAATATGAACATTTTTTGTAATAAAAATGTACATTTTAAAATTTTTACCTTTTTCCACAGTTTTCTCTTCTATTGGCCCTTTTTCTTTCTTTTTTGCTTCACCTTCAAAAGTAATAGTATTGTTAAAATTGATATTTATGACTATTAAACAAAAATATTCAATAAATATGATCATTTACCTTTCCTGATTTCCTTGCTTGCCTTTTCCATTCTTTTGAGATTTCTCATAATTCTGATTGTCGATTCTTTGTACTTTCTGTAAATGTATGATATTAACTTTGAAATATATTCATTAATTGATTAAATTAATTCAATTATTTAATTTCTCTCTATGTCTAAATGTATTTCTTGCATCTTGTCCTTTAATGTTGTTATTCTTGAATCATCTTTGGGTTTTCTGATATTTCATTAAAAATATGTTTGAATTTACAATTTTGATTAGTAAATAAAAAAATGAACATATAACTTATATTACTATTGGCCATGAGCAAACTTTTTTGTACTGATTTTCAAATGAACATATAGTCTATCTAAATTGAACATTTAAGTTTTCTTACTTTTGGCCAAGACTATTCTTTACTGGATTGCTTTGCACTTTTGGTTGAACTTCTTCTTGCTTGCTGAAATCAATATTAAGAAATACTTTAAATAAAAAATGCACATAAATTGTACATAAAATATACTGTTATAAAAATGAACATTTGTTTATATAAAATTGATCATTAGTATACCTTTCATCCCTACTCTCTTTGTCAGTTGTGTTATGTGTAGCAGACACACTCTTAGTTGTTGCATTAGTAGCAGGAATGTTCTCACTTTGTTCACTTAAAAAAAACAGAATTATTTTATATAATATGATATTAAAGTATGAACTAATTTATACAATGAAGAAGATAATTAGTTATTTTGTATAAAGCTTTTATACCTTATTGTTTGATTTGTCTCTGGTGGTCTTGATTTTGACATAACAAATTTCACTCGAACCTTTTTTTTTCACTAAAATTTTAAGAATTACCTAATAAGTTTGGTATATATATACAATGTACAATAATTGAATGTAAAAACAATTATTTTATACATATAAACTTACTTGTTTAAAGTGTATCTTTCATAACTATTACCATATTCATTTTGTTCTATAACCTTCTTTAGAGTTAATGGTTCAGATTTCCCATCTCTAAATTGAAGCAAGTGTATCACTCTAAATGGCACATCACTACATTATAAATTAATTACATGACATTAGTTTGAATGCATATCACTGAAATGATTATTATCATATTTATATATGTGCATGATGATTTAATGAAATGTATATTTGTTATTTAAATCTCAATGACTACTCAAATGAACAAATATACATATATGATCATAATTATATCTATAAATGAACATTATGAGTATCAAATATGATCATATACAATGATGTTTCAATGAAATGTACTTTTGTTTTTAAATCTCAATAAATACTCATATGAACAAATATAAATATATGATCATAACTATATCTATAAATGAACATTATGAGTATCAAATATGATCATATACAAATAACATATTAAACAAAGATAAAACCAATTTTATCAAATACAACTAGCATATTAGACATGAACATAATATATTCTGTAAATGACTAATTACCTTGGTAGTGGAGACATTGTTAAATCCGTACCAATTGACTTGTCAATATCTTTTAAAAGTTCCGGATCTACAATTGGATCATTTTGGCGGTTTTTTTTTCAATTTGTCTACTCTTGACTGAAGAGGTACATCATCATCATCGTCTCTGTTTTATTTAATAAATTGTTAATGTTTTAGTTATTTTCAGTAAAATCTTAGAACAATTACTACAATCGCAAAAAATTTTAACAAAAATTAGGTTTTACAAATAAATTCGCTCTATAATTTTCATCGCAAGAATATGAACAAATTAGGTTTTACAAAAGTTAGGGTTCATACATTTCTTCAGAAATTTTCAACAAATTACTCGTCTGTGAAGTATTTTTCTCCAAAATCATACTACAATTGCAAAAAATTGAACAAAAATTAGGTTTCACACATAAAATCGCACTATAATTGTCATCGAAAGAAAATGAACAAAATTACTTACTCTTTAGATACATTTTGCTCCGATTTTGCAGTTTCTTCTTTCATGTTCTTCTCTGTAGTGGTTTTTTGCAAAATCGCACTACAATCGCAACAAAATGAACAAAATTAAGGTTTCACACATAAAATTGCACTACAATCTCAAAAAATGAACAAAACTAACGAAATTACTTACTCTTTTTGTTGTGATTGTTTAATTTCTTCTCGAATATCAGACATTTGAAGCAATTTTGGAGTATTTTGAAGCAATTTTTCAGTGATTTAAATTGAAATTTGTTCCGATTCGTTGGGTTTGATGAGAGAGAAACTCTAGAGAAATGAAGAAGATGGTGTTTAGAGAGAGAGAATGATTTGAAATTGATTTTTTTTTTTATTTTTTTTATGTATATATATGTGGGGTAGGGGAAGTTAGTTATGCAGTTACTGTGGTTATTGTGGGGAGTGGGTAATTATTGTGGGTTAGTGGAGGGGGTGTGGGTAGTAACTCTAAACGCTGCGTTTAGAGGGAGTGTAGGTTGGGCTACCTACACTAGGGTCTAGTGTATACCAATTACACGCCCGATCAGCAATGGGCTTCCAGGTCGGGCCCGCTATCCTCACGCCTAGCAGTTTGTCTTGTCTTGGGCTGCTCTCAAGGTTGGCCCAATTTCCTTCTTGATATCCAAGTATTGGACTTGTAATAAAATTAGTACTCCAAACGTACCGGACCTTTAATCACCGAACCAAATTTAATTGGCTTGACCTTGGACTACAAATATTACGGTCATAAAATACGATCATACTCCGATATTTTCGTAGTGACTCAATAAGCTCGGGAATTATCATAATTCTGCAAATTCCTACAAAATAATACCAACTCTACAAATACACTAGAAAACGTATATTAGTAATAAAAATAGCTCTGTAGAGCTCAAATAAGCACAAATATGACCTTAAGATGAGGAATAAAAATATATATAAAATAGACTCATCAACTACCACTATACTTATTAGTTTTTCGACGTCCCCCGTAACAAATTGAAGCCCACCCCGTCAACAAAAAAAAAAAAAAATTACCTTTGCGATTTGGTAAATCCTAAAACGCAAAGACGACGGGGAAGACATTAAAAAAAAATCCTCATTTACTTATCCGAAAAAATGAAACTAAAATTGAGAAGTGAGAACCCACGATTCCTTGGAGGAGAGTAGATAGGTGACCACCGGTGAATTGGCAAGACAGCGAACCTTATACTTGTACAAATATTATACGAGTAGTGTATAATAACAATAACAGTTATGTGATGGAATGTGAAACTTTATTAAAGTACTGCTTGGCGCCTAAATACATTACTTTTGGACTCTTCGCTTTGTTTTTTTTCCTTATGGTAAGTTTTGTCCCCACTAATGTATGACAACTTTTAAGGTGGTTGCGTCATTTGACAAATTTAGTAACGGTAAAAACATTTTATCAAAGCTCTTTAGATATATATTTCCATATATTATTGTACGAGTAAAACTTTATAATTTGCTAATCTATAGTAATATATAAAAGGTTTTGGGTATAAATTTCACTTTTTCAAAATATCTCTCATTTTTTTTATTTAAAAAAAAAACTACCATCCGCTTAAAAAAAAACTATTATCTTTATTTTTAAAAAAAAAAATTATTATTCGTTTAATTTTCTCTCTCTCTCTCTTTTTTTCCAGATAAGTCATATCCGAAAAAAATAAATAAATCGAGCCTGATAGATTATTTATATTGCACACGCACACATCACGTGTGTCTGTGAGCTTGTTAAGTTAACATGAGATGGTCTCGTATAAGGACGGAAGACTTGCTTTGATCAATTTTGACTGCAAAAAGAAAAGAAGATAAAATACAATAAAATAAGAGGCAAACCTGAAAAGCTTAAGGCCCTCGTCGAACTCGTAGAACTCCATATGATCACAACATCGGTCTAAATCATCTGCAAGTTTGTATATTATGTATATATGTACTCGTATAACAGAGAAACCTTTAAAAAAATTGCATGATATTTTCTAAATTAAGACATTATGATTTTTAAATGAGAAATGAAAAAGATGAGATTTATTAAAGAGAAAAATCTACAAATATACTAGATTTTGGCATTAACAATAAATTAAGGCTAAAGTAAATGATGAAAGTCCAAAGGCAGAAAGGGAGGGAGACAGAAAGATCACGTCTGAAATGGTGTAATATTGACAAAACTGCTGCTGAGGAAATAAGCACGCGTATCGAATAAGCCTTTTATTTTTCATTTTGTTTTGCATTCAATTGACTTTATATTTTCTCTAATCATGAATTTTAATCTTGTACATATTTTACGGTGTTTTAATTATATCTAACTATAGGCCATACCCAGTTATCTACAATAAAACATAAAGTCAATTGAATGTAGACACTTATGCCTTGGAGGTTGAACAAGGAAAGACGTACCTCCTGCGAATCATCAATGCTGCCCTCAACGACGAGCTATTCTTTGGAATTGCAGGCCACTCCATGAATGTGATGGAAATAGATGCTGTCTATGTCAAACCATTCACAACTAAGTCCATCCTCATTGCCCCAGGCCAAACCACTAACATGTTAGTCCGAGCAAACCAAACCCCTAACCGTTACTTTATGGCCACAAGAACCTTCATGGACGTACCCATTCCAGTAGACAACAAGACCGCCACATCAATCTTCCAATACAAAGGCGTCCCAAACACCATCATCCCTTCCTTACCACAACTTCCCTCACCAAACGACACCTCGTTTGCATTATCCTACAACAGGAAGCTTAGAAGCTTAAACACCCCTCAGTTTCCTGCCAAGGTACCTTTGAAAGTTGACCGAAAGCTGTTCTTTACAATCGGATTAGGGGTGAACCCATGTCCTACATGTGTCAATGGGACTTGTTTTACGGCCTCATTGAACAACATTACCTTTGCTACTTACCTCATTTAACTACACTGGAGCTCCATTCTTAGGACGGTCCAATCAACAATGCCAAGGATTTGCAAGATTGCTTTCAACTCCACGGTTGAGCTGGTTTTGCAGGACACCAATTTGCTTTCCGTAGAGTCTCATCCTTTCCATCTTCATGGATACAACTTCTTTGTGGTTGGTACCGGGGTTGGTAACTTTGATCCCATTAAGGACGCGGCTAAATTTAACTTGGTTGATCCCCCTGAGAGGAATACCGTAGGAGTTCCTACCGGAGGTTGGACATCTATCAGATTCAGAGTCGATAACCCAGGTAATGACAGTGTTAAACGCCTTATGATCGGTTGACATCTGCACCACTTGTTACATACATATATAACATAGGCTAGCTTGGGTGTGTTAGTACAATATCAACATTGCAGTTACATACTTGTGCTTCCTATATATTTTGAATTGGTTTACAATGTTCACTAATAATTGACTTTGGTTGCAGGAGTATGGTTCATGCATTGTCATTTGGAGCTTCATACGGGTTGGGGACTAAAAATTGCGTTTATGGTTGAAGACGGACCAGGGCCAGAGTACTCTGTATTGCCTCCACCTAAAGATCTTCCTCATTGCTAAGTTATCAACTTTGTAAAATGGCTTATGGTTGTAATTTGTAAATAAAACATGCATTTTCCCATTCAATTCGTTTCTCTGCTTTCCTGGTAATAAAAATTGTATGAGGAATGGGGAATAGTTGAGAAATGATCGAGCTCTAAGGAATTTGAATTGATAAGTTGTAAGATACGTTAAAATGTAATAAAACTTTCTAAAAATTTGGAAATGAGTACATATTATACTGTATAATTTTCAACATAGCTTAACCTGTTTACATAAATAATTAATTTTCGTTACGAAAATAGTTGTCATATTTTTCTATCCCTCATGATTTAGGATAAGTCATAGTTTTACAATACGTGTAGAAAACCATAGTTGGGCTACCTCTGTCCCTCACACCACATTATTACTACATATCATAAAGTAAAATTTCACCTCTAAAACTATGTATGAATTCACCATCTACCTATATAATGACATTATGAAAACAAAATTTTCTATGTATATGCTGAGGTTATGTGTCCATAACCATATCTTCTTAGTAAAAAATGCTTATCGTCGATAACGAAGATTATATCTTCTTTCTGTGCTTATAGCAACAGAGTTCTCTCCCATTTCCTCACCTGCAATTGGTAGCATATAATCCGGGTCTTCCATAACACTTATGTCTTCAGGCAACTCAGCCTCTACCCAAGATATCCAGTCAACTTCACTATCCACATCGTCATTATTGTCATCCCATGATAAATCATCTCCTTTCTTCATCCCGTTTACCTTGTCCAGGAGGGAGACCAACATATTATAGTTCAACGTTTCATAATCCCTACAAAAATTGAAACAAATATCAATTTGCATAACCAAAAATAATAATCTTCTCCTCTATTTAAAAAATATCCAAATTAGGAATATACCTAAATGTAAAGATGGTGTACAGAAGTTGAATGACAGCATAGATTCCAAAAAGTGGTTTCACAGCAGTCCTTAGGTATAAGTGTTGTTCAATCTTGTTGGATGTAAAACGCAGTATTACACATTCTATTGCGAATGCAATGCACAATCCTGTCATGAACAAGAATCGTAAGTGACAATTAAGATCAGTAGAAATTAATTCGATTCAGTACAAGAAATAATTGGACACATACCTATATAAAGTCTACATCTCACACCATAAGTTTGCTTTGTGCTTGTCAGCATGTAGAGAACGAGGACTAAGATAAGAGTACACAAAAAAAGCTTTGATAACCCTTGACTCGAGCAACATAGCATTGTGCAAGGCAAAGAGTTTATCAATGGCAGCAAACATGCTTGCTTGTTTCAACTCAAATGCTTCCTAAAAAACATATAAAACTCGCAATTAGTTAATAAACCGGGCAATAATTGCACAAATGCCAACTACAGCTAACTTTTTTTATAGCTTTGTATTACTTGTATCTATAAGTCAATTACCTGAGCTGCTAATATGGATTTTGGGTTATTAGCCAAGTGGTCATTAGCTAGCAGAAGTTGTTGCTGTTGCTTCAATAGTTCTTGGTGTTGCCCATTTGCGAAGTCCACTAGTTGTTCCAAAGAAACCCTGAAAAGAAGAAAGATAGCATTAAGAAATTAAATAAAGATCACATTTGTTATCCCTCCTTGGACTGCAGAGAAATTACCTGCTCTCTTGAAGTGCTTGAGACAAAAAAGTAGTGAGAGACTTAAGACTCTCGAGAGCAATCGATTGACCTTGAAGAAGCTCTTGTTGTTTGTCTACAGAAATTTTAGCCATTTTAGTAATATCATCAGTTTTTCCTTGGAGATTCTGCATCTTTGATGACATTGCTTCTCCAACTTTGTTCACCTCCTGCTTGATATCAACAGTCTTCTTCTGTAAACCAAGTATTTCTTCACCTAAATTCTGATAAGATTCTTGAATTTTCAACATATTTTCCTCCAATTTGTCTTTCATTTGTCCCTGTCCCTCTAGCAACTCTGCCTGAGACATTGCAATTCCCTTAGTTGTCTCGTTGAGCTCTTTCGAGTGATTCAAAACAACACTCAAGTATCCAAACATTTTCTTCAAAGTCTCCCCAACAACTTGAGTTTGTGCATCAATCGATGTTATAGATTCATGTATTCCATTCGAACTATGCAGAAGATTATCCGATTTTTCTTCAATGATCTTCAATTTGTCTTCTGCAACCAGTGCTGAATCTTTCAGGTCATTCACTAAACCTTGTAGCTGAGACTTGAAAGCCTTCGACCTGTAGCAATAATGTGTCAAAATTTTTAAAGAGAAAAGGGGTAATAAAAATTGTTTAAATTTATAAATCACACTACTTACTGTAACTGATGGCAAATGGAATTTGTCTTAAGGTAAAATTCAAGGTAAGTCTTATGATCATCATTATTCAACTTCCTTAAACAATCGACCATGACAGATTTTCTGGCACAAGATGGGAAGGGAGTCCTCCCTGTATCCTTCTGAAAACAATCACTCAGATGCCAAGCAAGCCTTTTTCTCTTTTCTTCTGCAGCAAATATTTCAGAACAAGTTGAAAATAAATCTTGGTATGCTCTGAACCAACAAGGATTTGTCCCTCCCAACTTTCTCTTGGCATTTTCAAGCAATTCAGCAGCTTTTGGATTATCAAGGGCATCAACAGAAAACTCAGCAACCAAACCTTTGGACATACTATCCCTATTTCCTGATTGGTTTTCACTCGAATGGGCGTGTGCAGAAGATGAGAACCAACCCCATGACTGACTTGTTGGAGAAAATGAAAGAAAAATCAGCAGAAACAGAACAATGTAATGATTTGCCATCTTCTATATTACCTATAGAACCTGCATTGGCATAATATCAATAAGAATAGTCTGTTATATACAACAAGTCAACAACGTAGTTAATGTAAAAATCACATATTTAAATGTGTGTGCATGAAATACTATATTTGCATGATTTATTTTATGGAAACTACTACCACTATACTTATTAGTTTTTCGACGTCCCCCGTAACAAATTGAAGCCCACCCCTTCAAAAAAAAAAAAAAAAAAAAAAAAACTTGGAGAACTCTAAATCCTAAAACGCAAAGACGACAGGGTAGACATTAAAAAAAAATCCGCATTTACTTACCCGAAAAAATGAAACTAAAATTGAGAAGTGAAAACCCACGATTCCTTGGAGGAGAGTAAATAGGCGACCACCGGTGCATCGGCAAGGCAACGAACCTTACAGTTGTACAAATATTATACGAGTAGTGTATAATAACAATAACAGTTATGTGATGGAATGTGAAACTTTATTAAAGTACTGCTTGGCGCCCAAGTACATTACTTTTGGACTCTTCGCTTTGTTTTTTTTGGGATATTATCAATGATACACTCGAGATTTCAACTTTTATCAATGATACACTTCATTAAACTTTCATTATCATCGGTACACCTAAACTTTTTCCTAATTAACTATAGTAACCTAAACGTTAATTATGTTTAGTTGACAGCATTTTAAAGGTTTGGAGGCTAAAAAAACTGAATTACCCCTCTCATTTAATCAAACCAGAAACTGCTGAGCATCAGGCCAAGATTGCTTAGAAAAGTGTATAACAGCGATGAAGCGATTAGTTTCAATTCTTCCTTTATACAAAACATTAGGTGCTTTTTCCCCACTTTCAGAAACTTATATTCTGTGCTAAACCCATTTGTTGCTTTCCTAAGCTCTCTCAAATTGTACTCTCTAAATGCTGCTACTTTTTGCAGCTGATTGTCCCCATCTCCTACTTTTCCAACTGCTGCATTACATATTTATATTACCCTCATTTTAGCAGAAAACAGTATAAAAAACAACAAATTCATCAAAATTAAAGCAATTCTCATAAATAGGGGTATACTGCAACTCTGCAAGAATAATAACCCCTGAACTGCAACTCTGCAAGAATAATAACCCCTGAACTGCAACTCTGCCAATCTGCCATGGACAACCTCACCCCACCCACCACAAAACTCTCCAGCCACACCGGAAAACCCTTTAACCACCCTGAAAAAGCCCACCCAGCCTGAATACACCACCCAACCTCGAAAAACTCAACCCCAAGCCACGAAAACACCACCCAGCCATGAAAAACACCACCCCAAGCCCCGAAAAACAGCACTTAGCCCCGATACTCCACCCCCAGCCCCGAATAACTCCACCCCCAAAATAAAAACAGAAAAAACAGAAATTAAACTCACAATTCGAAAGAAACCACAACAAGAATTCGAAAACAGTTATTTAAACTCAAAAAAACCAAAAAAAAAACATAAATTCGAAAGAAATGAACTAAAAGAAAAAGAAATTCAACATGCAAACATCAAACAATCATTATAAGCAATTGAAACATGAATAAACATATAAATTCTCACACTTAATTCATTATTTCGAATACATAATACCCAAACATAATTAGATTTACATTAAAAAAACAAAACTTACCGGAGATTTCGCGCGGTGGCTGTCTGGCTGATGCAGCGTGCGGTGGGCGGTGGACGTCGCCTGAGACAGTGAGGGAGGCTGGGAGGTGTCGGCTACTGGGCGTCTGGGCTGAGAGACAGTGAGAGTGAGGGAGACAGGGAGTTAGGGTTAGAAATGGAAAGTTGAAATTGAAGCGTTGTTTTGATTTTTGAAATTTTTTTTTTTAAAATACAAGGTCCGGACCGGAAACTTTGATTTTCAAGGACCTGAATTAACGGGTCCGGTCCGGGTCATGTCGGTTCAGGTCTGGTCCAGCTTTTGTACGGAAGTGAAAAGAAGAGCACGCCGGCGTTAATGGTGGTAAAATGGGAGTGGGAGAATGCCACCGCAGGAGCCGTCGCTGGCTTCGCCACTGTGGCAATCATGCACCCCCTTGACGTCGTTTGCACCCGCTTCCAAGGTCAAACCAAAATCAATCAATTTCGTCTAATTCTCACCGTCTTTTTTTTTTTCTGGGAATTTATTTTTATCTTTATTTGTTGGAATAATACAGATACAGTGAATGATGGACGAATGTCGAATCTCCCAAGCTACAAGAACATCCCCAATGCTATCTTCACCATCGCCCGTTCTGAGGTGTCTTCAAAATTCCAATGCTTTATTTTGTTGCTTTTCAAAAAAAAACTTTATTGCTCTCTATTTACAGTTCAATATCTATCATTAGCCAATTCTATGCAACATGTTTGTATCATTGTATGTTATTCAATTAACTACTTGTGTATATTTATGGTCTTTTATGCCAATGTATGACTTTGTAAAATGCCTAATACATTCGTTGAAATTATAATTTTATTTTTAATGACATATATAAGAAGTACTGGGTGCATATTTTCAGTCAATTTAGTTTATTAAGCTGTTATCAGTCGAAAATTACAACTTTAATCTTATGGTCAATCCTAGCTGAAAGGTCTTTACAAGTTTCCATGTAATTGTGTGATCAATGAACCATACTATTTAATACTTTCAGCATGAAGAAATTAAGTTATATCTTGCTGAGATGCTATTTGTAGATTCATTCTAGTACAATTCTGCTTGCTCAACATTTTGTTTTTAACTTGTTTTCCAGGGTTCGAGGGGGCTTTATGCTGGCTTCACCCCAGCTGTTATAGGATCATCTATTTCATGGGGCCTGTTTTTTTTCTTGTAAGTTAAATTCTCTCAAGTCTGAAATTTAAGCTGTATTATCTGAATTGGAAAGGAAATGCTATTTTCTGCAGCTATAGCAGAGCTAAAAAAAGGTATTCTCATGACGAGGAGGATAAGCTGAGTCCTGGACACCATTTGGCGGCAGCTGCAGAGGCTGGTGCACTGGTCAGTTTTTTGAAACAGCAATGCTATAGTTTAAATGTCTTTAGGGGGAAGCTAGAGAAGATATAATGGTGTTGGAGGGGTTTTGATGATTAATAGTGAATTATGAAAAACAAAATATTGGATGTGGATCCCTCCCGAAATGATAAATTGGACAAAAAAATTGGGAGAAATGGGGCTTTTATATAGGGATGGAGGGAGTGTGTATGAAGCTTAAGTATGGACATAAGTCACCCTGAATTTTCATTCTGTCAGGCTTGTTATCTCAAAGAGTACTTTAATCTATAATTCACTATTCAATTGATTTTGTCAATGCTCAGAGGAAACAAAGTAGGAGTTTACACGAGTTTGTATTAGAGATGTCCCAATCAAATTTGTGAATAACATTTTAGGATACTACGATGTCCCCACTTACATTTTTAAGTTCCTTCAAATTTGGCCACAGTGCTACTAGAACGGGCTTCTTTCTCGCTTTGGAGAAGTAAGAAACATGCTTTCATTTTTTCGTTTTCATGTTGTTTGTTAGAACTGATTTCTAACTAGTACATGTATGAACTATTTACAGGTATCTTTTTTCACAAATCCTGTTTGGGTCATTAAAACAAGATTACAGCTACAGAATCCTCTTCATCAAACCTGACAGAATGAAAATTCAGGGTGATTCGACATTCGTCCATCATTCACTGTATTATTCCAACAAATAAAGATAAAAATAAATTCCCAGAAAAAAAAAAGACGGTGAGAATTAGACGAAATTGATTGAAATGTCTTGTCCTATACTATCTATCCACCAGATCAACATATAGATTTTCAATGTTAGTTCTTTATAATTTAAAAAAAAAATAGATTATACTTTGTCCATTTCTTATTACACGCATCACTTTTTAGAAATGAAAATTTCAATTTAGATAACATTTTTTCATTTTTAATTAATAAATTTTCTCTATCTTTTAGCACGGTTCTCTATTTAAAAACGGGGGAAGTAAAAGTTATTGTAGAAGATTAAAGTTGTATAGACTGACATGTCCAATTAAAGTGATGCGTTAGGGGAGGAGGTACGGAGAAAAATGAAAAGACGGGACTGGTTGATAAACAAAGCAGCCAAGCCAAGCTAAGCTAAGCAGGTTCAAAATAGAAAAAGGGTTGGGAAAAGGCCAAAGAGGGGGTTGCGAGTGGCGGGAATCAATGGGAGAAATGGAAAGGGAAAGGGAATGGGAATGGGAATGGGGTGGTACGGACCTCTAATAGACCTATCGGCGGCATCTTCTCACGTCGGGGATTTTGTGCAACTTATCGTATTCGTACACCACTACACTCCCGTTCAGGTCTGATGACCTCTTCATCCTAATTATGTAACCTTCAATTTCTGGGTTTATTTTATTCGGTTAATTTTTTGTTTTGTATATATTATTTGGAAAATTATGAAGTACAAATTAGGACGAGGACGAGAAATGGGAAGAGGAAGAGGTGAATTGATTCGCACAGACATATCGGTTGGGGACGAAACTCGACCGCAACTCAGCATTACCCTTTGGAATAACCACCTCGCTTCTTCCGTCTCTGCTGGAGATATCCTTTTCTTCCGAAGTTTGTTTTGCCTATTTCTCTTCTTACTCACTGTCACTTTTATTTGGAGTATTACTTACTACAATAGTTTTTGTCTGTTTCTGTTTAGACGTCAAAGTATGTTCATATGCTGGTATGCTTCAAGCCACTTCTGTTGAATATTCTTCTATTCTTCGCCTCATCCACCCTTTCCATTCACTCCTTTCTCGAGGTGTTTCTATTTCACTCCTTTTTACTGTCTCTAATTTCAATACTATCTTTCTATGGACTGCCTATAATAATAATAATAATAATAATAATAATAATAATAATAATGTATTCTGTTACTTTAGGTGTGGATGATTTGCTCACTACTTGTCGCCTTGTTGGTACTGCTAAGGATAAGCTTAGGAGGGTTATACAATGGGTGCACCACACTAGATCCACTCTTTCTTATCAACAACCTAACTTCCACCAAGTATTCCTCCCCCTCTTTTTCTTCTATTCTAAAAATAAGCTTCATTCCTGCTCTTTATCAATCAAAGCCTTAATCCCATAAGTAGGGTTGGCTACATGAACCAAATTTGATTATTCCTGCTCTTTGATGATTATATATCTTTATGTTATGCTAGACGACTCCAGCACCTCGAAACTGGAAAGTGCACCAAGAGCAAAAACCCCGTCAATGTTTCTTACTTTCACAAGTCTTGCACCTGTCTACTTCCTGTAAGGCCATTTTTCATGCATCAATTGGTCAAGTTTTTCTGCATTCGCTGTGGCCTCATGCTGACAATGAAAGGCTCTTCATCCGTAGTCGATTGACTACTAAGGCTGACTTCATAGTGGAAGATATGATATGTACTGGCTGCCACCTCTGTGGCTTCCCCTTGTGTTCTGAGTATGATCCCTATTCAACTTTTCATTAAAATTTTCAACTCACAACCATTGTTTACTTTATACTGATGTGTTGATCTTTCTTGATTGCACCAGCTCCGCAACTGTGGGAAAACAAAGTCCATTATATTGTGCCAAGAGCTCAAATCGACTTCATACTGTAGGCTTGATATATAGGCCATTTATGGTATGACTTTCTCTTGTTATTAGCTCTATTTCTCTTATTGGACTTTGAAAACATGATCAAGTCATGAGTGTCGAGTGCTTGATATATAGGCCATTTATGTGAGTGTCAAGTGCTTGTTCTCATATTAGTCATATACAGTTGAATGGTATTTAACTATTAGTGTAGTACCGTGATGACAGAACATGTTACCTCTTCAATTTCTGTCACAGGTTATACTATAGTTTTATACCGATTCTTATGATGATAATACTTATGGATGAAAGATGAAAATACAGTTTTGTGTTCAAAATTATCTGCCAATATGTGTATAAATCCTTAATGCTCCAAAAATGTTATGCAACAATATAAAGCTTGATAAGGTGTTGAAGCATAAATTGCAAATGAAGTTGTAGAATGCCTTTTAAATTGATTATTCTTGTAAAATGCAGCTATACGTATGGGATGACTCAGAGTATATTCCACTTCATGTTACAAATAAAGCAGCTGAGTTCCTGTTTGGGAATATCATTGCTGAAGATGTGTACCAGTCATACAAGGGCCAAAAAGATCATCAGTGTCTGAAAAATCCCTTCAAGGCATATGTTAATAAACAGAATCACGGAAGAGTTGAGGCAAAAGGCATTGGGTCAAGCTCATCAGTCAGGGCTGTAGGATTAGAGATGAGGAAACATAATGATGCTAAAAGTCCTAACTTCTATCTAATATGGTTGATTGTGCTAAGGTTGTTGCTGCTTAAAGGGAAAAATTCCTCTTTGAAGTTTGAAGTTCTTGTTAATCCTAGCTTGGAAATAGAAGATGGGAGATTTGAAATGATATCTGTGTCAATGTCATGTGAATAGTCGTTTTTTTTTTTATGAAATTTGATCAAGGTGTTTTTTTGGAGAAACTTCCTCTTTGAAGTACAAGTATATTTTTTAAAATAATATGATTTATATATACTCTGTATCAAACCTTCAATATTAAATAAAAAAAAAAAAATTGTATTAAGAGTTTAAGAACCAAACTTCAATAAATTGTGTTAAGCATGTTGCATGATTTGCATCTTTGTTTGAATAAATTGCAATACTAAACTTGACACATAATTTAAGAACAAACATAGGATGCAGATTAAGGAGAAATTTTATTATATAATGTATAGTTGGTGGTGGATTAGCAATGTAAGTATAAAAGAGGAGAGAGTTGAACTAGTAAGAGACTACGAGGGAGAAAAAACTACGTTTAATAGTTGACCCTTAGCAAATACTCCATACTTTACTTTTTTCTTTTTTTTTTTTTTTTTTTCTAAACGCGCAAATACTCCGTATTTCTTTGAGAAGTGTTGCCAACAAAGTGTTGACCCATTTGGTAAGTTTGGAGTTCAAATCTTATCAAGTCGAGTTCCTTGTTAATTTAAATAAAATTAAGAAGCGGTTTTGTGATTCCAAACTCCAACTCATTCGCCGTAGTCCGTATCATCTAGCCAGTAGAAAAGGGGAGCAGGTATAATATTGATCATCGGGGAAGGAAGTGTATTGGTGGGAGAAGCAGAAGGTTGGAAAGAGAGAGAAGATGAGAGGTGTTGGAGGACCGTTGCTGTGCATCGGAGATCTGCTGTGCGATGTTAGAAAATCAGAAGATAATTTGGAGCACCCAATTCCCCAAATTCAAACACCCTCTTCTCCTTCTCCTTCTGCTTTGCCTTCTTCCTCTGATATCCACCTCGATCTTCATCCTTCTCGCCTTACACAACTTTTCCAGGTAAAATGTCTTAAAACTATATAATTTACTATTGTTATCAAACCTAAAATTTGCTCATTTACCACCCAAATAAATTCTATTAATTTTTGTTGCTCAATTCTATTGTGCTTTAATGTCCCAGAAAAGGTACAATCTCGGTTTTAAAACATTTATGTGCAACCGTGTTCTTGAGTTGTATTCTTCAATCAAAGTTGTATTCTTCAATGTTCTTGATTTGTAATCTTCAATCAAAGTTGTATTCTTCAATGTTCTTGAGTTGTATTTTCAACCAAAGTTGTACACTTGTTTGGGGGAGGGGGGGGGGGGTTGGAAGGATACTACTCCCATTTTTCTATCTTTAACAAATTATAAGGGATATTATGTCAGTCATTAAACTAGCTGCTTTGTTTGGTCGACTCAAATTTAGCTTAATGTATATGTATGGATATTGGTGATGAATTTTATTTTTTTTTAATTCATCAAAATTTGCCCCATATTCAAGAATCTCTACTCACTAGTGGTGTAGATTTCAATTCTGTTTAGAAATCAATCTCATTCCAATCATGGCTTGTTATAGGAAAACTATGAGCAGTTGAACAAGGCACTTGCTGGGACAGATCATTCATGGACTGGTTTGACATTGAAGGTAAACTCATTCTACTTCTATAAAACTCCTTTAACTCTGACTACTAATTGTCATAGCATCATGCTTCAGTGGTTCATCGGGTTGTTAGGATTACAGTGATTTCAATTAAGAAAACACTTAAACAATGTGTGGGATCAAATCCTAAAGTGTAAAATTACAAGACAATTGTAAAATATCAAATGCAACACAATGTATTACAATCAAGTATAAGAAATTACAGAAATTCACAAAGATAACACTTGTGTAACGATGATCAAACTTGCCTTTTCTCTAAGCCGACAACAACAAGCATGAACATGAGAATAATGATGTCCCGTAAGACTCAAACCTTGATACACTGTCAAAGGCGTGTATACACTTTCCTAAAGAGTGTTATTTCCCCCACACGGTGCTTGGGTTAAACCGGAAATCCTCTTTGAGATACAATTGACAGCAAATTTCGTTCTTAGCACTAGAATCGAAATACGATGAACAATTCATAAATTTGGCTAAATTTCTAGAATTTTCTCACAAAAGATTGCAAGAAGTTTGTGAGAAAAGATGTGGAGAATACTTTTTGGGAGAGAAAAACTGAAAAACTATATATCTCTCATTCCTTCTCTTCTCTTTATAATAAAAAGAATCGAAAGAATAACCGCAACTCCCGAAGAGCCGCGGGTGCGGCAGCCCAACCCGCGGGCGCGGACTGAGTGAATAATGATCCACTCAAAGTTTCTAGAGATGGCTGGCCGCGGGCTTGGAGAGGGTGCGGCCCACCCGCCGCGGGCGCAGCTCTTGTTCTCCACATACAATCTAAACATCTAACGCGGGTTTCTTCAGTTGCCACTTACCAGAACTATTATACGCTTTCACTGTCTTGCTTCCTATTCTTCATTGCTTGTAAACTTGTTTTCTCTCAACTGCTTGCAATTCTTTCTTCTGCAAGAGCATTTGTCATCGCGCTTCTTTGTTATATTCAGCTTCTGCTGTCTGACTACTTATATTTTTCTTCTTTGCTCCCCTCCCCTCTTCTTCTCTTAGCTGTGTACTGCTTTGGATACTGCAAAGAAGTTGATAGAATCCACCAACTCAAACGTGACCATGCTGTCAGAGAATGTTGGGGAACTTGAAAAGATGATCAAGAAAGGTGATTCTGCTATAGCAGAGGTCAGATCCATTCATAGCTCAAAAGCCAAAGGATTGCTCCATCCAGTGAGAGTGAATCCTGATCAAAACTCATTAAGCATATCTGTTGATAGTGAAGTGTAAACCAACTTGTGCCTTCAGGTAGAAAATGTCTATGGATTTGCAATTGTTTTCCTTTGGTGTATGAAACGATGTATTTCTCTTGTTTACCTCTTCCCAGAGTAGCAGTTTGCTTCGTGCAAGGGGACATTATCTCTTGGATTGGTTGATTAGTAAGACTGTAAGAGTGAAATATAATTTAAATAAAGAAAATACTTTTTTATTACTATTTTTGTTTTGAGGTGCTCTAGGATTAATGAGTTAAGATTACACATTATAGATTTTCTTTTTTGGCAATAATGAAAATTAATGTCATGTAGAAAAACCATGTTTTGATATTGAGCTATGTTTTAAGTTGAAATTGTATAGCCATCGCATGGAGTTTTTACTCTTATTTTTTTATTTAAAGGCGTCTGTAAATATTGGATTCAGATTTTGATGATTAATTCTTCAGAAGATCCAAGATCCATTTATAACATTAATATATACTTACCATCTGATGTCAAAAAAGCCTTCTTCTGGGATAGGGGTGGAGAAGTGCAATATCTTTGTACATTTACTATTATTTGTGAAAGTATGCCTTCGGTTATTATTTATAGATCAGGAAAAATGTTTCAAAGAACCTGGAGAGCTCGCAATGAGGCAAGTGGGCAACTATGAACCACCCACTGGATAAATTGTGCCTGCTGAGATTTGGTAGTCCCAGACTACAGACTACTCCCATCTGTAATTCAGATCAATGGTTGGCGGTTTATTCAATGCTGGTCTACTAACCACTTACAGATGATTCTCTACCGGTATTTGTTTGCAGCTTTTTTCTTCCTCAAAGTTTATGCTTCTGTTTTCTGGATCTAGAATTAGAAGGGTTTGTTTTGATTGGGTTATTACTCCAATATACGGCTCTGATAGATAATTCAAATAAAAATATTTTATTCATCTGATGTCAGGTATACTGTTTTGCCAACTGAATACACTAATATTGCAAACGTCTGGAATGTTATTGCTGCCACTATCTAACTTGATGATAATTCTTGTTGGTCATGCCGTTATGGACTAATAAAATGCCCAACATGCTAAAATATTCAGGGTGTATCGTAATTGTCTTTTTAGCTCTCAAAATATCTTAATGCATGTGGTTCTTGAAATATGTCCTCTCGTGGTGATACTGTACTAGGCTACTAGCTCTCCCTTGATGACCTGTCTGCACTGTGTAAAGCTCTTATTTGCAGTAGTGAAGTTTTGTTGTAATGAGCTAATGGGTCCTGTGAAGATGCTTGTGAGTAAGATTAATAAATTAATGCTTGTGGTGAGGGTAATTGTGCTTGAAAATGTTATCTATACATTAGAGAGTGAGGTCATTTGTTTAATGGTTGGAATTTCTTGTGGAGTTGACTCTTTACTATCTTTGTGGTTTAGATTATAATGGGCTGCGTTATAAGGCCTTTTAAAATTGTTTTTGCATTTTTTTTCAAAGTAGCAAAGGTCGTTACATTTTGAATAGATAAGGATATAACCTTTTTGCTTTCTCAGAGAGTAGTCAAGAGTAGGATTGCATGTGTTTAAGCCTCTTTGAAGACATTGGAGTAATGTTGATGTTGATATTTTTGTGAGGGGTATATTGTTGTCCAAAAGTGACATTTGATGATCTAGTTTGTTAATTCTCCTTGCAATTCTAAAATCTTCATTTTCTGTGACTGTTTATGTATTGGGTTGGATGTGTGGATAGGAATAATTTAAAGGACCTCCTCATCCAAGTCTTTTATGAGTTGTTTACAATGCCTCCACAGTATCTGTTGCCAATGTTTTTGGGAAGACTAATGTTCCTCTAAAGGTAAGAGCTTTTGTTTATAATTGGAGTTTGGTGACATTGATATTAATGATATGCTTCAAAATCTGAGGACTTGAGGCTGGGGTTAGTTACTTTGTTGGGTATTTGTATGCTGTGTCGCGTTAGCAATGTTTTTCTAGACTCCTTTATTAACTTCATCGTCAAGTGACTTAATATTTTTGTAGGAGTTTATTTGCATGTCATTAGAATATTGAGTTTGCTTCGTTATTGTTTGGAATCGTGATTAATGAGGTTTGTAGCCTTGTAGGGGATAAGGAAAAGCTGTAAGGGTGCTGTGTTTCTATGGTGAATCCATTGTGGCTATGATGGAATTCACATATGTTTTCGGGAGCCTCTTGAATATCCAACTTTCTTCAGGCCTGACCATTTCTTGTGGACTGAGGGAAAAGGCAGTAAGAGAGATTTTCTCCATGCCACATTAGTGACAAAGCTGAGTCTTTAGGACCATTTTTTAAAGGTGTACGTAAACAATTAAAGGGTTACTTGCCTGATAAGGAGAGTAAGAAAGGTTTTCTCCCTGCCCTATTATTAAGTGACATAAGGGCATAACTGAGTCTATATAACCTTTTTTTGATAAACCAATTAAAAGGTTATTTCTTACCTGAAAGGGCTGAAACCCATTGTCAAAGCCTTTACCAACAAGGATAGAAAATCTGATGACATGATAATATGCATTCTTTTTCCCCCTCCCTTCCTACCCCCTTTTCTCCTATAAAATTGAAGATTTCCTGCATGTGTTTTCCTAACAATTTAGCTTTGCTGAGTTGTCATTTACTGCTTATAACGACTGCAGGTTTGTGCTCTGAGTCCAATTTATTTTTTTTAGCATCATTAAATATAGTATACCTGATTTGGTCCTAAAATTGAAGTTTCCCTATGTCCCAATTGGTTAATACAAATGAATTGATTTCAGGAATCTCTAGATTGAATGCTGAAGTTTTTTCTGTTTTCGGCTTTTTGGCCCTGAATACTTTTTGTTGTTTGATGTTGTTTTGGTTTCAGCCCTTTCAGGTAATGTTAATGTGGCTCTCATATAATTTATCATCGCTTCTCCATTTACGTGCAGCAATATGTTTAAATGCTTAGACTTTTCATATCCCCTATGCCTAAATAAATCGTGTTATATAACTATATGTCCTATTCTGAATTCTTAGATGGTGAAAAGCTAAATGATAAGTACTTTTCTCATTTCAAGCGGAACTGTAGAGCATAGTTCCATGAGTTTATGCAGGTAGATTGCAGAAGTTGTCCATAATTGAGTTGCCAGAGTTGAGTTATAGAGATCCATGTAGCAATTGGATCAAGTGCAATCTTTAACGGTTTCTTGTTGACTGGATACTCAAGGTTCAAAAGGTAATCTCATGATGCACGTCATGTGGAATGTGGATTGTATCGTGAACTGATGATATCAAATGACATCCAAACTCAAGTTGATTAGCCACATAATCTTTGTGAATTCCTTGAGCATATTTGACTCTTCTGCAAGGCCAGTAGAATCTGCAATAGAATGTACATGTATTGAAACTTATTGAACAACTATTTGAGATTCAGAAGATACTTTTTGTATTGTAATTGAACTAGTGCAGATTGCAAAATTCAGTGGTGGATATAGAGTCTTGTATAGATCATAGGTCTGAATATTAAAGTTAGGCCCCGTTTACTTCACCTAATTTTTGCTGAACTGAAATTATTTTTACTGACTTGAAATTATTTTTGCTGAACATAAATTATTTTTACTAAACTGAAATTAATTTTGCTGAATTGAAATTATTTTTACTGATTTTCTGTTATGTTTCTTCTTTAAAGTCACTGTTTTTTACTGAACTGAAATTATTTTTTACTGAACTGAACTTATTTTTCCTGAACTGAACTTATTTTACTGAACTGAAATTGTTTTTACCAAATTTTTTTTAAGGTGAAGTAAACAGGACCTTAGTTGCATATTTTGTGCTAATTTTAAGTCAATGTTTTGATCTAATCCGCTCCCATACTCCACCAAGGCACCAAAGTATTTAAAACTTACTACCGCAAATTAAAAATTTTGTAAATTACTACCGTAAAAAAGTTTGAAAATTTTGATTTTACTATCAGACTCCACTTTAGGTGAATCGCTAAACATCGCCCGCAAATCTCCACATAAAGCCCACAAATTTGTATTAAAGTGACCTTTTTGCCCTTTTTGTTTTTAAAAAAAACCACTCACTACATCTTTCTAAAAGCGGCAAGGGAAAGAGGTGGCGGCGGCGACGACGGAGGAAAGGCAGCGACTTGGTGGCAAGGTAATTATTTAAATTATTTTTTTAAAAAAAAGAAAATAAGCGGCGAAGGTGGGGCGCCTGGCCAGGACGCCCACCCACTGGCGGTGGCGCCAGCTCCGGCAGCCAGTGCCGGTGGCGTGGCGTGTGGCTTGGAAGCCCAGCCAACGGTAGAGGCGTCCAAACCAGGCGCCTGCCCACTGGCTATGGCTGCCGGATCTGGCGCCACCGCCAGTGGGTGGGCGTCTTGGCCAGGCGCCCCACCTTCGCCGCTTTTTTTTTAATTTTTTTTTTTTTTTGGGAAAATCAGAAAAGTTGTATTTCTTTTAAATAATTTTGTTTTATGTCTAATTTTTTTTTAATGTGTTTGATTTTTTTTAATATTTATTAATTTTATGTGTTATTTTTTATAAGTCTAGTATACATATTTTTTATAAAATCAAATAAAAAACATAAATTTCCCCATCCTAAATCAAAACATAAATTTATTAAACATAATTTTAAAAAAAAAAACAAAAACAAAATAAAAAAAAGGCAAAAAAAAAAAAATTAAACGGTAACGGCGGTGTCTGGCAGAAACGCCAGTGCACTGGTGGTGGCACCTAGCCTGGACGCCTGTGCACTGGTTAAGCGCCTGGGCTGGACGCCAGTGCACTGGTTGTGGCGCCTTGCCTGGACGTCCTTGCCATGGTTCCGGCGTCCAAACTAGGCGCCACCTCGTTTTCCGTCGAAGACGACGTATCTCCGGCGTCCCTCGCCTCTCCGGCCTCTCCTCCAGTCTCCCGGGCAACCCAGTACGACTCCACATTTGTTAGATCGAGATTTGTTCACTTTGGGTACGATTTTAGAAATGGGCAAAATTGTCAAATCATGTCTAATTTGTGGGCTTTATGTGGAGATTTGCGGGCGATGTTTAACAAATCCCCACTTTAGACGTCACTTTTTCCCTTTAACCCATGTTTTACCCTTGGTTAAAAAAAAAGAAAAAAAGAAAAGAAAAGAAATTGATATAAAGTGAATTAATATAGGAATAGCAATGAAGTAATAGTGGAACAAAAATGAGTTGTTCCGAATAGTAGGTTCAAGTAATCATTGGCGGACCTGGCCTTGTGCATGGTGAGTCAAATGACTCACCAGGGCCCAAAAAAAATTTCTAAGTTTTTTTTTTAAAAAAAATAAAAAAATAAATTATTTTCTTTGGTTGATTTTGTTGTTGTTTGTTTGGTAAACTTTGAACCTTTTGTTAATGTTGTTGGGTTTTTGATGAAATTTAAACCTTTTGACCATTTGAATTGTAGTCAGTGTTTATTTAGGGTGTTTATTGATGCCAATTATGTCTGTCAAATTGTCAATACACCATTGGTTTTGGTACATTTATATGGGGTTTTGCATATGTGCTGATTTGATTGGCGATTCGGACGATTGCTTATGATATAGTCGACCCACCCTAATGATATAGTCAATTATGTCTGTCAAATTGTCAATACACCCTAATGCTTGTACAGATTTTAATCTTGTCAATTATTAGAGAGCTAAGCTTGCCATGTTGTCAACAAATTTTTTACATATTTGGTTATCGATTGTGACTCACCAGTCGGAAATTCCTGGGTCCGCCACTGCAAGTAATGTGATAATTGTATGTACGCATCGAGGGGTGGTGGCTAATAAACAAGTGTTAAGTGGTCTGTGGGAGGACCGGCGGATAGAGTTAGGCCTTGTTAGGAGTTAGGAAGAGGAAGTTAGGCCTTGTTAGGAGTTAGGAAGAGGAAGTTAGGCCTTATTAGGAGTGGTTTGTGTATAGTCAGAGTCGGATGAAGTGAAATCCCCCTACCCGGCCTCAAAATTGTGAAATGCAAATCGTAGACAGCGTCCATTGTACCTGGACATCTCATTCTCAAATGCTTCGCCTTTTTCCTTTTTTTAAGATTCCAACTCCCCTCCATTACAGATTTGCTGCTGCTGCTTCTGCTTCTGCTTCTGCTTCTGCTTCTGCTTCTGCAATTCATTCATCTACAATGTCGACTGATATCGCTCAACCCCCACTTCAGGTATTCCTTCTCTCCCTAATTCTTTAATTTTATCATCACCCCCCGATTATTCAAATTATTCCTTTGATTTCTGAATTCCAAACTCATTCAAGTTTGGATCGATTCCCTTCCTTCCTCTAATCAAATCCACTCTTCTATATACTTCAATTTTTAAATATAGTCTCTAATTTCAATTTCCATTTATGGTGAATTGTAAACTAAATTAGATACAACTTGGAAATTAGGGATTTCTTAGGGTCTACTGTCTTCGTTTGCCCATCATCAACCTATATATTTGTTGGATTTTTGACATTACTGATACTACAACATTGAAATCCTCGGATACAATACTTTAGTAACTACCTCCATTAATTATTATATGCAACAAAAGGGTATTATTTGTGAGACATAAAACATTCCTTTGTTGCATTTAATAATTAACGGAGGTAGTATTTTATATGAATTCCGAAATGGAATCCTGAATTTCCTCTTGTTAGACTGTAGCAATAAGGGCCATTTAAGGACCTGTGGGAAATAAGGGGCATTCAAAGATCTGTAATTTAAGCATTATTGTCTCATTAGTTTTGTTGCAGCTGTGTTCTGCTCCTGTTTCACTGCATTAACACAGTTTCAACTATTATATATAACAGTCTCTCCTGCCTGACTTTTCACTTCAGATACATTATTGATGGCGTTTTACCTCTGCTTACTTGCTCTTCTTCTTTACGCCTTTGCTATTCTTGTTTCTACCAAAATTTGTTACTATGTCATGAATGATACCTAATCTTGCTGCAACTTCTTATTATTTACCATAGGAAAAGAGAAATTAAAAAAAACCTGTCTTATGTCTTAAACAATGAAAAATGGTGTATATTCTGGTATAGAAGTTGTTTCCCTGATAGTTTCTGGGCACTTCACAGGTTGCAAAGCGCTTAGAGAAGTTTAAAACCACCATTTTCACTCAGATGAGCCAGCTAGCTATTAAACATGGAGCAATTAACCTTGGCCAAGGATTTCCCAATTTTGATGGACCTGAGTTTGTCAAAGCAGCTGCTATTCAAGCCATTAATGATGGTAAAAACCAGTATGCTCGTGGCTATGGAGTTCCTGACCTCAACTTTGCTGTGGCTGAGAGGTTTAAGAAAGACTCGGGACTTGCAGTTGATCCTGAAAAGGAAGTCACTGTCACCTCAGGTTGCACAGAAGCCATTGCTGCAACCATGTTGGGTTTGATAAATCCTGGCGACGAGGTCATCCTCTTTGCCCCATTCTATGATTCCTATGAGGCTACTCTCTCTATGGCTGGTGCCAAAGTAAAAGGCATCACCTTGCGACCACCAGAGTTTGCACTGCCTCTTGATGAGCTCAAGTCTGCAATTTCAAAGAACACCCAAGCAATCCTCTTGAACACTCCTCATAACCCAACCGGAAAGATGTTCACTCGGGAGGAACTTGATGTCATTGCATCTCTGTGCATTGAAAATGACGTCTTGGTATTTTCTGATGAGGTTTATGACAAATTATCGTTTGAAATGGATCACATCTCCATAGCATCTCTTCCTGGCATGTATGAGCGCACTGTGACAATGAATTCTCTTGGAAAGACGTTCTCTCTAACAGGGTGGAAGATTGGATGGGCCATAGCACCTCCACATTTGACATGGGGAGTGAGGCAAGCACACTCATACCTCACATTTGCTACTTCGACCCCAATGCAGTATGCAGCAGCTACTGCTTTGAGAGCACCGGAATCTTATTTTGAGGAGTTGAAGAAGGATTATAAGGTCAAAAAGGGGATTTTGGTGGAAGGACTACAGGAAGCTGGTTTTAAGGTATTTCCATCAAGTGGGACCTACTTTGTGATAGTAGATCACACCCCTTTTGGTCAGAAAGATGATGTTGCGTTCTGTGAGTATCTGATCAAGGAAGTCGGGGTGGTGGCGATCCCAACAAGTGTATTCTATCTGAACCCTGAGGAGGGCAAGAACCTTGTCAGATTTACCTTCTGCAAAGATGAAGACACCTTAAGGGCTGCTGTTCAGCGAATGAAGGAAAAGCTTAAAAGGTAAGAGTTCTCTAAATAAAATCTCTTTCGTGTAGGGGGAGTGGGGAGGTTAGTGGTTAAATGATATTTGTTGTGATTTGTGAACTTCAGATTGTTGAAAGGTTAAGTGAAAATTATTAATATTCCCTTGGCGTTGGCTGGAATGATTATGATAATGATGCTTTGATTTTACCAGGTGAGGACTCTTGAGCACACTTTGGAAAGTGGTGGTTTAATAATGTGCCCAACTTGTATTTGGTTTAATTGTGTCATTACTTTTGAATAGTATAAAACGCCTCCATTAATTATTCGTAGAAACAGACCTTCTGCTGGAAAAGAAGGCCCGTGAGTAACCTGATTCTAGATTTTATACCCTCTTAAGTTACTAATAAAGCATACTCTCGATGTACAGAATTAATACATGCAAACTGTTAATTTCCAGCTTGAGGAGAGTTTTAGATTTCTGAAAAATAATTCAATAGCAAGTATTCTAGTGGATGAACCGATCAATTTATGATCCTATATCCTCTATTTACTATTTGTGCCTTGTTGGTCTGTGGAACATTTGGAATGTCTAGAGAATATAAAGCATGTGGGTGAATGCCTGAATGGCCATGATTCTATCTGTATGTTGCATATAATCACTTGTTAACTTGTGTAAAAACCTTGGCTTCTTGCAACTTCCTGTTTATAGTACTCCACGCTGAAAGTGTGAAGATCTGGGTAGGTAACCCACTGCTTAGAAGATTTTTGGTCGTTCTTTTTTGTACAAATTTACGTTGGGACCAAGTAACACAATTTTTTGCTGCAAAGGAGTATTAGAACTGCCATTTTTCTTTTTCCTTTTTGACATATTGAGTAGAAAACTTTGTAAATTGTACTGGAATTTACGAGCACATACAAATAACTAAACAACAAATTTTTTAGAAATCTGAATTTCCTTGGCTACTTTGGTGTAGTCATAGAGATAATTTCCAAGCCTTTTTTCAGGTACGAAGTATTTAGCAATCAATTGTGTAATGTGGAGTAGTACATACGGTGTAAATTGGTAAGCAATCAATTGTGTAACGTGGAGTAGTACATACGGTGTAAATTGGTAAACAACCGTAGAACCGCTAACTCAAACAGCCAACATTATGGGAGGTTGCGAAAAAATGCTTTAATCAATTAAATTTGGCCTTGTTTAAAAAATAAATAAATAAAAAAAGGCTAGGTCTTTGTGTGATTGCAGCTTATAAAATCCTACCCAAAATGGGCAAAATCTGGTTAAAAAAAAAAGGGCATGTGTTAATGCAACCTTGGACATTACCAGTAAGGGCAGTAACCTTTAATCAGGCCAATAATTGTAAAATCTGGTAATATAATTAACAGATTCTGTTCAGAAAGGGTTCTTTACCAATGACATTAATTTCTATTTGGTAGGAAAAAGGAAATAAATGGAAAGATTGGGGATAATAGGTGAGAATAAGCAGCAGTTGAAAATCCAAAATTTTGAATTTCAAAAGAGATTACTTTGTAAAATGGAGAGGATACCTTGTCAAGTCAACCAAGGCTGAAAGATGCAAAAGATCAGAGTTGGCCAACTAATAATATCTCCTTAATTAATAACTCTTCTAATAACTCTATCTGTTTTTGTTTATAAGTCAAAAGGTAATGCTATTCGTCCAATGAAACACACCCAACTTTTCTATTTCCATTTTCATCTTCATCAGGCACTTGCTCTTTCTGAGATTGCTATTTGCTATTTTAAACTCTATTAGGTGTTGTTTGGCTAACTTTCAAATATGTGGGAAATGAAAATTCATGGGAATTCGCAAATAGGGTAGTTGTTTGGTTAACAACAAAAAGTGAAAATGGAGGAATTGGAAATTCATGGGAATTTTGACTTTCCATAAAACATGGGAAATTAATTACCTACCTCTCCCTTGGTTACTCAAAATTCCCATGAATTTCAAATTCCTTTATGAGAACCAAACAACTTATGGTCATTTTAAATGAATTGTATGAAAGAAATAAATTTCCATAAAATACAAATTACCATAGGAATTTAATGTCTATGTTAACCAAACAAGCCCTTATTAAACAAGCAAACCATTCCCTTTTGACTTTTGAAGTTCTAGGAATGAAGATACAGAATATATTTATATTTTATGTGTAGTCGCGCAGCTTGAATATGTCATCCAATTTGTACTTCTTCGGTGGAGTAAACCGGACTTTTTACTCCGTACATTAAGTTCTACTTTGTAATTTAAACGAAATAGTCTTTCTAAGGAGGTGTTACTATTACTCATCGATCATTTAAGATTACTAATTTCCTTATGTTTAAAAATTTATTTAATGGGACACTTTTGTAAAATATAAAATATTGTAACATTTACAAAATTTCAAATAATTCTCTAGGTAATTAGACAAAGTATATTAAAAAAAATCCCAATAAATTATTCCTTTTTTTTTTCCTAATCTAAATTTTAGAACAACTTTAGATGTGAAGGCACACTACCAACCCAAAACTACCATATTCATGAAAATGGTTACAAAACTCTCGTACCCTGACCTTCTTCTCTCATTTTCTTATAAGAATAAGGAAATTGGGAAAAGAGGTTCATTAAAGTTGTTTTCTCTTTATCTGTTTTGGTTTGGTAGAACATGAGCAGATTGATCACCAATGAATCACAATTGAATAATGCTCTTTGGTTTTTTCAAGTAATAAAAAAAAAGAAGAGGGGTAAAATCATTTTTTTTTTTTTTTTGACAAGGGTTAAAAAATAAACAAACCTAATAAACATTACTATTAAAGCACATTAAATGCACCGAAGCTTCTCTTGCAATTTGATGAGCCCTGTGAACACGCTGCCTATACGCCTTGTAAATACTACAGTATTGAAAAGTCGACCCCAGAAGTTGTATCTGCTGCACGAGCCATAGATAATTGATGTCCCTACAACCATCACCTCTTAGAAGAATGACAAGATTATAAGAATCATAAAATACAATAGTCCACTGAATGTTAGAATTGGAGGCCCATTGTAAGGCATACAAACAAGCCAAAGCTTCCAAGTGTAAAGCTGAGGTGCAAAACCCATAATTACTCCCTCCAATAATCCTATCATCCAGAGGGTCAGAATTATCAAGACACCAACCCATTCCTGTTGTGTGAGTGTCTTTGAACCATGAACTGTCAATCTGTATCTTAACCAAAATTTCTAGAAACTAAAGCACCAATTGTGATATTTGCTCCCTTCTTCAACATTTTGACAATTGAGGTATTTGACAGTAATTGGAGAGAAAATTGGGCACTATATAAAATACATTAGGTCGTTATGCACTCGATAAAAAAAGTAATGTCATTTATCTAGTTTAATAACATATGGATATTGTTCTTTGTAACAAATCTAAATTTATTTCTCATTATAGATAGGTGTATCATATTGTTCCTTTTATTCTTACCTTTTAGAAATTGCTATTAGAACAATTACGGTGTAATATTTAAAATTTATTTTTATAAAACATTCAAAGTCAAATTAACCATAACGACACACTTTATTGCTAGTATGGAATAAGATGGTTGTCTTTTCCCTTTTTTTTTTTTTTGGTTTGTTTAAAATGGAGATTATATATAATAAAATAAAATGATTAGGAGAAGAAGTTTAGAACCATTGCAAACCCATTGACAAATATTAGTTTGATGCAAAATAAGGGGGCGTTTGGTTTGCAGAGTGGTATGAGTTTGGAATCAAGAATGGGGTTAAGGTGGTATCGGGTTGGAACTTGATACTTAATACCATGTGTTTGGTTCCATTTTGGAATGAAATCTCACCGCCTTTAATTTGATACCTAAGGGAATGGAATGGACCAAACCCACCTCCCCCCAAGGTTTATGGGGTTTAAAATTCATACTTTTGACAACCAAATATATGATATGAGTTTTAGTCGTTCTAAACCCATACCTCATACCTACATTCCGCGAATCAAACACCCCCTAATGAGGTATCTTATACACAATCTTCGTCCAAACTCAAGTTAATTCAATATTTAATCAATTTTTAGGATACTGTACTTGGTAAACTGAAAATATACATACTTAATTTTAACTAATTTAGATTTCAAAAACTTTTAAGCACCAAGTGTTGATAAAGTAAATGTATCACCTTTATACAAGTTAAAATTATACCACATTTAAAGTTACTCAAAAAAGGTATTAATTACTCCAAATTAGCTAAAAGTTACACTTAAACTATTCGATGTATACTAATCTTATTGTTAATGGGTGTACACAACAATTTTTGATTGAACAACCCCCTCGGCAATTTCATTGACCATTAGTAGTTGATTCAAACCTTGGGTGTTGTTTGGTTGACATGGGAAATGAGTTCCCATAGGAAACTATATTTCATGGGAAGTAATTTTCCTTGTCCATTTCCTAGGAATTAATTTAAGTTTGTTTGGTTGATAATATAGGAACTTTGATTTCCTAGGAATTTATTTCCTATGTTTTATTAGTTGACTTGATAATTTTTTATTTAAGTTAACAAATTTGGAGAGAGAAATAAAGAAATTAAATTATTAGTGATAATAATGCAAGCAGGCACCACAATAATCATAGGAATTATGATTTACCAAGGGGGGCTTGATAAGTTATTTCCTATGTTTCATGGGAAGTAAAACTTCTCTTGGAATTTCCATTTCCCCCAATTTGATAAATTTGTATCAACCAAACAACACATGTTTTTTTCCATTTTCCTAGAAAATAGAATTTTCCATACTATTTACCTCCAACCAAATAACACCTTAATCTCACGTTATAAAATACATGTATGGAATAATAAAAGAGAAATGGAGATGGCAGAGTGGGCCATGAGCCTACCAACTCCTCCCAAAAAATCAGCAAATTAGTTGAAAATATTGTGTGCATATTTTGCAATTATGAATATATTAAGCAAAGTACTCCGTGTAATATAAGTAGTTAAAAATGATGAATTGAATTTCCAATTGTTGTTTCAAAATACGAAGTACGGAGTAGTTTGAATATATTTGTTTTGAAATTGAAAGATTAGGACGGAGTATTTTCAATATTGGTACACCCCGTATACTTTGATTTAATTTGAGAAAGCTAAAATGTTGGTTCCCTTCCCCCATAGGCCAGTTTATACTAGTAGTAATTAAGTAGTCATTCTTAAATTAAATCTGAAAAAGAAAAAAGAGTCTGAGAGGCACGTGCCGGAGTGGTACAGTAAAGGCATAAAGGGAGTTCAGGTCAGAAATCTGTGAGATCCAACGACCATATCTTCCCGTCAATAGCGGAGAAGGGTCTGATCCAACGGCTGAGATAGAATTGGAAATACTGTGCGTCAGATGTGCATCCAACGGTCCTTAATAAGTCCTAGTATCTCCAATTTCCGCATAGGAATATATTGATAATATAAATAGAAATAAACAAAGAAAAGGCTCCCAATGAATAGTTGAGGTTTGATTTCACAAATTTCATTTCAAAACCATCTCTCTTCTTTCTCTGCTCTTTTTCCTTTTTTTTTTCTTTTTTTTTAATTGCAGAAATAGTTCGTTCGTCGCAGTAGGATTGTTGGTATGTCGCCGGGCGCCGTGAGCAGCAAAGCGTACGTGAAGCGAATCTCCAGATACCGGAAATAGGAGAGTCTCTCTCTCATTAATACAAGTAGTAATTAAAATTGGATTTGTGTTTAAATTGAAGAAGGAGAAAGATGGAAGGTGGTCAAGGGAAGCTGACTCGGACACAGTCATCTCTACTCCGGTCATCTCCAACCATTCGATCGTCGATTCAAAGTCTGTCGTCGATTGCAGATATGTCGGAATCGGATGAACCTGAAAGAAAACTACACAAGTCGTCATCAACATCATATAACCGGAACCCTAGTGGTATTAGTATTACTGGTATTACTAGTTCCAAAACTAATACTGCTCTCCTCACCTTTTCCGTTACCCTCCTACTCATCTTCATTTACCTTCAAACTGATCATATTACTACCTCTGAGAATCTATTGTTTGCCCTCATTTTTATCGCACTTGCCCTTTTTTACCTGGCTAAGAACCGGGATTTCTTAGACCGCTCCAAATCTGTCATTAGGAACTTGTGCAGACACCACCACCACAATCACAGGAAAGGGTCCTCCGTGGAGTGGTACATCGGGGATGAATCCGGGGAAAGAGATAGCCTTGTTGATTTCAAAAACAAACAAAAAATGAGTGCGTTCAAGGAAGGTTTTGAGCTTTATAGCAATGGTGATTTCTACGAAGGTGAATTTCACAAGGGTAAAAGTAATGGAAGCGGTGTTTACAATTACTTTGTGAATGGGAGGTACGAAGGAGATTGGGTAGATGGTAAGTATGATGGTTACGGAATAGAGAGTTGGGCGAGAGGGAGTAGGTATAGAGGTCAATACAGAGGTGGTTTAAGACATGGTTTTGGTGTTTATAGGTTTTATACAGGTGATACTTATGCTGGTGAGTGGTTTCATGGTCAATATCATGGTCTTGGCCTTCAGACTTGCTCTGATGCTAGCTGCTATCTTGGCCATTTCAAGTTTGGGGTTAAACATGGCCTTGGCTGTTACCATTTCAGGTACTTAATTCTTTATTCATTCATTGTTTCCTATGGATTGTGTAATTGTCATGGATATGTACTAGGCTTTTCTTGTTGAATCAGTCCCATCTACAGCCGCTTTCAATTCCTTGAGGATTTGAAGGTGTCGATGCCAACAGAAAACTCAACCTCTAATTGCCTTTAATTTCTAAATACTTTTATTTGAGTTGCTAGGGCGGTTTGCCTTTTGAGTCTGTGGACCATATAGGATGGATGTGTCATGATCAAAACAATACTGTGCCCCCCCCCCCCAGATCTGTTGGAGTATTGTTTACTCAAACTTTTTTTTATCATAATTTTTCTGCTTGGAATTGATTACATTCTGTTTGAATCAATGCCTTAGATGTTGTTCTTTCATTATTCATACAATTATCTTGATTGTCATGCCTTCACTTTGTTTTATTTTTCTGTGCTGCTCATCCCCTTCTTACTTCTTATTTCATAGATAAAGCTTTATGGTGAATTTTTGTCAAAGATATCTGATTTTACTTGCAAAATCTTATTAAGAAAGTTACACTCATCTTGTTTCCTGCTGTTTCAGAAATGGCGATAGATATGCAGGGGAATATTTTGGAGACAAAATTCACGGCTTTGGTGTCTACCACTTTGCTAATGGCCATTGTTACGAAGGCTCTTGGCATGAAGGCCGTAAGCAAGGCTTTGGGATGTACACCTTCCGGAATGGGGAATCCAAATGTGGTGAATGGGACAACGGTTCCCTCAAAACCCCCTTACCCCCACTAACAGATTCAGTCCTACGAGCTGTTCAGGTAAATCTCTGATCCGACCTCAGCCATTTTAGTACGCAACAAGTTGAATAGAGTATAATTCATTCTGCTGTGGCCTAAAGTTTTGTTATGGAATTTTTGTTGTGTGTTACAGGCAGCTAGAAAAGCAGCTGAGAATGCAATTAACCTAAGGCGGGTGGATGAACAAGTGAACAAGGCAGTGATGGCTGCTAATCGAGCTGCCACTGCTGCTAGGGTAGCTGCTGTTAAAGCAGTTCAGAATAGAATGGATGGAAAATCTTATGATACATATGTGTAAAATAGGCAGGCAAAAATTGCTTTGCCCTGAGAAAATGTAAATTTTTGCCAAAATTTTCTTAACTACTGATGGAAACAAAAATGGCTGACCCTGGTAAGCACAAGCTAGCCGGAGGTTGAGATTAGATTTGAGGGGTGATTTTTTTTTTTTTTTTTTTTTTTTTTTCTTTTCCCTTTTATTTCTTATGACCTACACTCTGTAACATGTACATAAATTTGAAAAATGTAGATTAAAAGGAAGCTGAATATATCAGGGTTTAATTCTGTAATGTCTGCCCAACCTCGTCCATCTCTGGAAGATAAATGGATAAGTATTACGGAGTGCTCGTATGTTGTAATGTTGTATAGCTTACATTATTGACTCTTTTATTATGCAGCAATTATGAGTTATGAGATTGCAGGTTTTATCTATTGTCAGCAAATACGCAAATCCACCTCTGTCTTATCTCTAATGTTGGAGCTTTGTCTCAATTCTTGTGGTCGGATTCATTTTTTTAGTTATCTTTTTTCTATGGAATATATTTAATGCAGAGTATACTCCATATAAAGGAAAGAAGGATATTTAATTTTCTTATTTCAATTATTAGATTTTTTTTAATTAACGATGATGTGATGATTTAGTTAGTTCTAAATACTGGTATTGCCTTCTATTACGGGCCTACTGACCAACTTGCAGAAGCAATAGAGACTATTACTGTTGTCTTCACCTTCTATAGCCCCCGCCCCGAATTATGATAAGTTCATTACCAAACTACAAAGGTGTTTGATGACGAAAAAAAACATGGGAAGTTAATATTTCTAGGAATTAAAATTGTTTTGTGGTGTTTGACTAACAAATTCGTAGGAAATACAAATGCTTTCCACAAAAAGGAGGAACTTAATTACCTAGGTAAGTGAAATTTCTCATAGTTAATCAAACACTTTTTAGAATTTCTTAGGAAATCCAATTATATGGGAAATTAAAAATTTGAATTTCCAAGAAGTTGCAATTACTACGTTCAACCAAACGATCCGTATTCTGTATTATTTACCTTGCACAACAAAAAAAACCTAGCAAGGAGTACACAGTTGCCTTAGTTTATCAAGTGGTAAATCTTTAAATAAATCAACAAAAATGCGTGATCAATATGTATTTTCATAATAATATTAATAAGTGTAGGCCCTAGTTTAATGAAAAGTTATTAAATTATTTATAGTTTTGTCACTTGATAATGATGATAAACTTGTATCTTCTGAAGAAGTACTCCATATTTGTATGAGCATTACATGCATACATTATTATTTTAATAGAAAGAAAGTGTTAAACTAATAGTGAGAAAGAACTTGAGCTGGTGGGGAGCTCACCTTATGACTCTGAGGTTTCGAGCTTCACCAATTACATTTCCTTGGGACTAGGGGACTCCCTCCCTTCAAGATTGGGGATTCTTTATTTTATCCTTATGCCTTACTCTTAATTTTGTGTAGCCCCGAGTGAATTGACATGTGAAATGTTTTGGATCGATAGAACAATTCTTACTTTTATAAGTAGTAATCAGACAACCCTCTTAATATAATTGTTTTACTTATTTTATTCTCTTTGACTAATGACTGGATGTCTGGATAGGCTGCTCTGATTTAAACCAGACTAAGGTCACAAGAATATTGGACCGGTTTGTTAAGAATTTTACATTTATCAATTCACATCTTATATCACGAATATTTTTAATTAAGCAAAGCAGTACTAGACTATGTTTTTCAAGCATTTTACGTGAATGATGTAAAATTTTCAACGTTGCGATTAATGTCTTTTTACTTGCACACTTACTTTAACTTTTTATTAATGGATTATTTCAATCACCAATATCTATAATAACCAATTTCATAAATCATCAAAGCTAGTCAATATTAACAGTGTCAATTCGGATGTCTAAGTTGAGTTTTATAGTATGGGGTTAGGTCGGGTGAGTCATGCTAGATCATTATGCACATACAAGCTGAAATTTGAATCGACTTATTTTTGGATTGGATTGGTAAACCTCTAGTCAAGATAAAATATATATGAACATTGTTGAATTCAAAGTGTTGCAAGTAAAAAAAGTAGAGTAAGTAATATGTTTCAATACAAATTTGATTAATGTATAAAGTTTGTAATTCTTTCTCAATAAATTGTTTGAAATCTCAAGTACTTCCTCTATTTCTTTTTATAAATGCAACACTATTCATTCACGCTTGTCAATGTATTGTTTTAATCATTAATATCTTTTATTATTTGTAAAAACTACAAAAATTTAATATAAATAGAGTATAACTCAGAGACGAATCTAACAAGACATTAGATGACTATATTTTTCCTTAACAAAAGTTGAGTATATAAATAGTTGTTTTTTAAAGAAAACGGAGGAAATATAGCATAATTTAGGAAAAATGATGACAAGTATGCAAATTAACTTTTCTCCCCTTCCCTCTCATTCTTCATTATTGATGAAAATTGAAAAAAAAATTAGGGAACAAGAAATCTAGAGATCAATTGAAGCATGCATGAAAAGGAACCCCACCATGAAGCTAAGACTTCATCATGTGCTTGTACGATAATAATGACAATAATAATACTATCCTAATCCAAGAACCTAATATATTATACTTACGGCACATGGCTCCACATACCCTTTTGTTAGTTTAATTCGAGATATCGGCATCAAAGACTGGTCTGCTTCCAGTTTCTCCATGCTCTATGTTTTGATCTAACTCCTCTTCTAGTGTTTGTCATTTTTCGTTTTTACAAAGATTAGTTTTGTCTTTCCCTTTTTTTCATAACAATAGTGGTTTTTCCTTTGAAAATTATATTTACAATTAAGTATCGTCACCTTTTACTTGTCTTTCCTAATTTAAAGTATCTAAAAAGAGCGAAATGCTATTGCTTTTTACGATGAAACTTGTGACATCTTTAGGATTTATCACCAAGCACAATTTGCGCTCAATGAGTAGCATCAAATAAGCTTCATAGCTACATTTTCCTCCACAAGATCTCCCATCCCGAAATCGCTTAATCATTCTCCTTATTATCACTCCTCATCATCCATTCTCACATGCATCATGGAAGACGCCCCCAAAAATTTCTTCAAACTCAACTTTGACAGTTCGATTCGCATGATTAGAGATAGCAATGTAGCCCTCATCAAGGCATCTACGTTCAACCTCAATAACGCCAAGTAGCATTGTCAAAAACCGAACCGAATTGGTGAAACCGAACCGTTTCAACCGATCCGAATGAGAACCGAACCGATTAAAAACCGATTTTATGAAACCGAAAACCGACCCGAACCGCATGTTAGTAAAACCGAAACCGAACCGATCCGAGTAAACGTTAAACCGTTTAAGAACCGAACCAAATCTAAACCGAACCGTTTCTAACCTGAAACCGTTTAAACTGGCATAAAAACCGTTTACACCGAACCGTTAACAAACTGCAACCCGTTTGCACCGAATCGTTTATAAACCGAACTGATTATAAACCAAACCGCTTATAAACCGAACTGATTATAAACCAAACCGCTTATAAACCGAACCGTTTATGAACCGAATCGCTTATAATTCGAACCGTTTACAAACCACTTCCTACTAGGAGTATTTTGAACGACTCGATAAAAATCCGATTTTTTAAAATCAAAAACAGACCCGAACCGTAATTTAGTAAACCTAAAATAAAAATGATCCAAATAATGTTAAATCGTAGAAGGACCGAACTCGTTAACAAACCGAACCAGTTATAAATCGAATTAAAATAAAACTGAACTAAAAAAGACCCGAATCGTTTCTATCCGGGATAAAAACCATTAACAAACCGCAACCCGTCTGCACCGAACCGTTTACTACCCGGACCGTTTACAACCCGAATCAAATTTAAACCGGGATAAAAACCGTTTACACCGAACCGTTAACAAACCGCAACCCGTATGCACCGAACCGTTTACTACCCAAACCGAATTTAAACCGTTCAAGAATAAACCGAAACCGAATCGAACCGATAATTGTTTAAACCGAACTGAAACCGACCCGTAAGACATTTGAACCGATTTCTAACCGACCCGATTTCAAACCGAACCGAAACCGAACTGTCAAACCGTTTTGACAGTACTAACGCCAAGGTATTCATAACAGAAGTTACAACTCTGAATAAAGGAGTCCAACTAGCTCTTCAATTAGCATTCAGAGCATTGAAATTGAAAGTGATTGTTTATTAGTTACCAACTCAATAAAAGGCCCCTTAGCAAGCATATTATTGAAGACATTCGTTCTCTCCTTAGTTTCACAATTGGAGTATCCAGCACGTCTATCGAAAGGCAAATCGTGCAGCAGATTAGTACACTAATGTAGGTCATTTAGTTTATGATAATATGGATATATATAGATGTTTGTAATAGCTTTAGCCTATTTACTATTCTCACTTCTAATACATTAGGAATTACAATGAGCAAGACTTCCTAATGATTATTTTCCTTATACCAAATGTAAAAAAAAAATGTATACCGTGACCTATGGTATATTTTGGTATTTAAGGCCTATAGCCAAAAACTTTTTTCAAAAAATAGTTCGTTTTTTATACCTATATTTTGATTCACAAATATTTCATACTCCCTTTGTTCCAAAATAATTGATACAGTCAAACTTGTCGCACATATACACTAGTTTGATCTTGGATATATGTAATAAATTATTAGTAAAAAAATAAAGAAGTTGATAATATGAAATTTTATATTAATGCTTATTTAACAGCTTTCACAATAATATTTATTTTTATACATTACTATTACAAAACTATGGTCAAAGTTGATATGTAAATAGTGAAAAAAAGTTTAATTGATGTCAAATTGTAGCCTTATAAGTACCACATTTATAAGTTTTTTTATATCTTTTAGAAAATTTTGAAAATAACCACCTGACACAGATGTCACGCGTTCAAATCTCATCCACCCCTCCTTTCAAAGTAGAATATAAAGCGCAGGGTATAAGGTGGGCCCATGCTGCATCCACACTTCAAGCCTAAGGGACTCTCGTGTTAGGGGGCATGATAGAGTATAAAACATATTTCTGGGCCTCAACCACAAGCTTAAGCTTTTGGTTGACTTGGTCCTCTAACTTGGTATCGGAGCTAGCGTGACACAAAGGTCACGAGTTCAAATCTCATCCACCCTCACACTTTCAAGTGGAATATTTCGCGCAAGGTATGCGGAGGACCCATGCTGCATCCACACTTCAACCCCAACAGACTCTCATGTGAGGGAGCGTGATAGAGTATTAAACATATTCCTGGGCTTCAACCACCAGTTTAAGATTTTGATTGAGTTGGTCCT